CGATGTGTGTGTGTGTGTGTGTGTGTGTGTGTGTGTGTGTGTGTGTGTGTGTGCGTGTGTGTAGTTCACAATAATAATATTATGTAGTCGTGTGAAAGTGTACCTTTAGCCATAAAGCGTGTAGGCTACAACGCCACTAACGTTCATTTTTACACACTTGTGCGATGTGGCCACCTATTCAAGAGTGTGTAGTTTTTTGTGGATCTGAACCCCCAATCTGTGACTGTAGACAAAAATTAGAAATGAACAAAAAAGGCGCTCTCTTTTCCTGACGCCGATAACACGTGGGAGATTGCTTACTAGCTTGGTTGGAGAATAGGCATCATTGCAGGCAGCACAATGCTATAGCTGCTCCTCCCTCCTCTCCAGGACCCATGAAAGGTTCTGCTTGCTGATCGAGCTAGTTAATTGACAGCTGTTTGGACATTCTTCGGGTTGTTCCACGCAAGTTGCTGTCCCTCCCGGACCCTCTAGACACGCCAGTTTCCCTTTAAGTCTTTGCGTTGTGTGTGATTTGGTACCTTCATCTTCTAACACGGAGTAGAGAACATGTAGTTACTGTTGGTCTGATAACTTTGTTGGCAGACTTTTTTTTCTTTCGCAACTGCAAAAGGTCACATGAGCGCGGGGGACACGTTAAACATTTTCTGTGGTAGGAAATTTTGAATTTTGCCCAGGTGGCGGCCGAAGCCTACCCTTATCGGTTTTAAGACACCAAAATGTATTTAACGTGCGCAACTTGTACACGTACGGCACCTTCGATATTTTTCGCCGTTGTCCGAGAAGGCTAGGTGTAGATCTTTCCTACCAGAAGATTAGGGGTGGGGTTGAAAGACAGCAGTAAGAAAGAGCAAAGGAGTGGCAGTAGAAAGGCTGCTGAAAGAGTCAGGCACCCTGCGGAGGGGGCAAAGGGGTGAGGGGGTGGGTGCAGAAAGTGGAGATGAAAGCAAACGATAGAACATTGGTATAGATCAGAAAAGGAGGTGAAAGGAGACAATTTTAGACTAGAAAATGTTTCGTCGCTAACCGGATTCAAACCCGGGACCTTATTTGAATGAGAGGGGAACACCTTAACCTCTAGGCCACGAGAGCCCCCATTTGGCAGACTGTTGCAGAGAGTTCGTTGTTTTTGTGTTTAGTATAGTGGTGGTGAATGTGCTGGTAGTTGTGATCTCAATGGTGGAGGTGGTGGTGGTTGTAAAAATAATAACAATAATAATAATAATAATAATAATAATAATAATAATAATAATAATAATAATAATAATAATAATAATAATAATAATAATAATAATAATAATAATAATAATAATAATAATAATAAGAGCATTAATTGTATCCCGCCTTTCCCCACAGCATGGGCCCAAAGCGTACATAGGAGATTAAAAACACATTCATACTAATACCATATATAAATTCATCATGTGCGCACTTTTTGACAGCAACATTCTTTCAGGCAATAAAAAATGCTCATACAAAAAGAAGAAAACACTATTCTATCGTGAATTGACATCGAAATATTTGCTATTGCATGAGGTGGGGGTCGCCTTGTGATAGAGGTGTAGTTTAATTAGCGAGGAAATAGCCGCCAAACTTTGGTGATTTCTGAAACACAAAATTGGCGTAATTTTTGTGCCTTTAATCAATGTTCTTCTGTAAATTCAATTTAAAAAATAATGTGTTTTTAAAGTGACTTTAAAGTGTTGACTCAAAAAAAATATTTTAAAAATCGATGACAATTGCCAAACAAGGGAACAAATGCTGGTTTCTTCGATTTCATTATTTTTTTACAACGCCTGATTTCACCACGATGCCTCACAAATGGTAACGATGGCGGGGCTGATGGGGAGGGAGAGTAGACGGCTTGCTGGAGAACAAATGTAGCAAAAGAACAAATACTTCAAAGAGCAGAGAAGTATGGAACGGAGTCGGGGAAGGAGGAAAGGGGGGGGGGGGGGTGATGGCAACAGAGAGAGTAACATGATGATGATGATGATGATGATGATGATGATGATGATGATGATGATGATGATGATGATGATGATGATGATGAGCCTGCTGCTGCTGCTGCTGCTGCTGCTGCTGCTGCTGCTGCTGATGATGATGATGATGATGATGATGATGATGATGATGATGATGATGATGATGATGATGATGATGATGATGATGATGATGATGATGATGATCACCATGTTCAGCCTACGTCAAAGAAATGTTGAGCCCTACGAATTAGCGACACAGTTTAGATAACTGTCTTGTGAACGCGTAGTCGCTTCCTATGCCAACGTCTTGGCCGAAGAATTCAGGAGGAAAAAAAGCGTCTTCTTTTCTTTACCAACCCTTGTGTTAGTTTAGTAGTAATAGTAGGCCTAAACAGAAGACAGTTTTGCAATTCGAATTTCCAAACAATTCGAATGTCCATCTCCATTGTCACCAACGCAAACGGCAGCACCAGTTTCATATACTCTGAACAAAACACTTTTTTGTTCCCTTGAACATTCCATTCTCATCGTTAAAAATGATTCTAAGAATGTCATCCACCTAAAATTAACACCACCCCCTCTCACCCCAGACGTCATTCAACTCTTTTTTCTACCCACCTTGGGCGTGTATTTCGTTCTTTTATCTATAGCAGAAGCGTCGCTGGACTCGTCCTCCGAATGGTGGTGACCAGTGTGTTTGTTTTACCATGGCACTCGGTCTTCATTGTCTTACATAATTTCGTTTAGTTTACACAAAATCAGCAACAAAAGAAAAAGCTAACCAAAACCCTCCCCCCCCCCCCCCCCCTAAAAAAAAAACCAACAAAACCGCAAAACAACAACAAAAAACCTTCTTTGCCCCCCCCCCCCCCCCCCAACCAAATTTTAAAAAGAAACCAAAAACCCTTTTAATTTAGATTTCCGACAGACCAAGACCAAAGTCTGAGATCAGCCCCCGGTTTGGACCTCCGAGGAGAATGGTTTGCTTTCTTCATTTTGATCAGTCCTGCCTAAGACGGCCACCTGTCTTATAACGCCACTTTAAATTTCTCCTTTACAATGGGTGGCCGTTATACATAGGCTTGACTGTAGTTATAACACTTCACTGTGTTTGATTCCGGGAACAATAATTTCAAGAAAGAATTGTTGAGTTCACGGGTGAAAAACACCAAAATTAATATCATTTTATGCAATTTGATTATTGCTGGCATTTTTATTTATTTATTTTTGTTATGGCAGTCATAACAATATGCAGAATTTCAGCCACAAAGATCTACACTATGCACAATTCGTGTTTTCAGAAAAGATCAAAATATCTTAGTCTTCCCAGCACACTTAAAATGCACAGTAAGATGAACAGTTTGGAACTATCTGTAAAAAAAACAACAACAACTTAACTTAATTTCCCCCGTATCCTCCCTTCATTACACCAAGCCAGCCGACAGAGTTCTACACACTGTGACTCAGCTAAATCCCAAACTGAAATAATTAATGCAACGTAGAGTACACAAGAGGAAGAGACCCATCATCATCAATGCCTTTCACCCCAGGCAGGGTATAGGCCACATTCAAGCTCCTTCCATTTATCTCTGTCCTGAGCCATCCTTCCAAGCTCTTTCCAAGTGAGCTTCATTTCTCTCATGTCCCTTTCCACGCATCTCCTCCATGTTTCCCGTGGCCTACCCCTGCCTCGTGCTCCTTGTGGGTTCCACTGCAGTGACTGTCTTGTGATGTTTCCCCTGGGAAGAGCAACATCACCATCATGTATAAACTGCCTTTGTAAAATCCCATATCATACACACTGCCAGTACGCCTAGCCTTTTACCAACCTACCAAATCAACTTATCACTATCTTCCAAGTCGCTAAATTCTAGCTCGACTAACTGCAAATCTTAACCTGACACATCTTCTTCCAAGACTATTTATTTTTAACTAGACTTCAGCATGCAGGAACAATCTCTTACAATTTATACTTCCCCGCATAGTTTTACCACACTCACACACACAAACAGACACACACATACACAGAGAGAGAAAGAGAGAGAGAGAGAGAGAGAGAGAAAGAGAGAGAGAGAGAGAGAGAGAGAGAGAGAGAGAGAGAGAGAGAGAGAGAGAGACTAATCTATGTTATATATTATTCTTATTTTGAACTTCTGTCCTACGAGCACTTCGAGTTTATTTGACACCGAGCATTGTAGCTCTTTAATATTCTGAAGTACATTTACATACTTCCGCCCAGGCGGTTGATTCAAGAGGAGTGAAAGACTTGAATTTATAAACAATTTAACAAACAATAAAATACAATGGCAGACGGATTGAAGCTTCTCACGGACGAAAAAGAAATAGTTCTTTTCGTTGAACACCAACGTCTAAAGACATTTCAGAAATGGCCAAATGACCCTGATTGGACCTGTACCCCTGAAAAGGTTTGAAGGCATAGAAATTTGACTTTATTTCCTTCTTTATCTTTGTCGAATTTGTAGCCGTGCACAGTCGGGTCGGCAGTTCAGTCGCTGTACTACTCACTCGAGTTAGATTAGGTTAGGTTAGACTGATAAGACTGACTGTACTGTAGACCTACTGTAGACGAGGTTATAGAGAGCTTTTGCTCACTCTCGTCTGACCGCGGTCTAAACAAGATACGCATAAATGAAACGAAGAAGTGACTTTTCTGACTCGAGTCCTCACTCGTGACTCGCCTCAGGCTGAGTAGAGACCGGGATCGGAAGGACTTCCGTAACGAGCGACCACCCCATCAAACACAATAAAGAAGAGGCCTAACCCTAACCCTAACCTTACTCCTACCCTACCCCTACCCCTAGATTTACCCCTAGATCTACCCCTACCCCTACCCTTAGCCCTCAATTCTGCTCTGTCTCATAGTATAGTGGTCGCTCGTTACGGAAGTCCTCCCCCGAGATCACTTCGGGCAAAATGGCGTTTTGTGCAGGAGCCGAGTTTTTATCTTATAATGATGAATTTGAGGCCGGCCTGAAAAGTTATATCTAGCCTAATAAATGTTTATTTGTCAAGAGGTCATCAGGGGTGATTTAGTCACAGTCAGGGTTGCCATTATTTGACTCTTTCGGATCGTATCTGGCCCGGAGAATTTCTCTGGCTCTTTTTTGGTTCCAAACTCCAAATGTTCAAGAACAAGGGAAGGGGAAAGAAGAGAGGCAAAAAAGAAAGAATGAAGAAAGTGAAGAAACGAGCTTAGATTGCTTGGCTTATTAGTAGATCTAGATTCTATATATATCTAGATCTAGATTTCTAGATCTGCTAGATCTTGTAAAATTATTAAATTGGTCTAGATCTAGATTTAGATTCTAGTTAACACGATTTTTAAACGCCCTCGCCCATTTGGTCTGAATAATTTACTACCCTTCAACCGTCATGCAAGAGCATAGATTTTAATAGTCTATTGCTCGAGTCTCGTTACGTTCATACACGCTCCTCTGTTCCTTGAACCATTTATTTATCGGTCCCTTTATTTATTGTGGGCAGGCAGAGAGGCCAGCCATCTTTAAGTGTGTAAACAACTAATGAATGGTCCAGCCGGCGGCCGGTGCCACATCCCGCTCAGTAGCGTCGGTAGTGAACCTTTTTTTTTAATGGAGAGGCGAAAAATATTTTTACATTAGGCCGTCTTTATTCGGACTCGAGTCCGAATATGAAAAAATGTTATTCGGACTCCGGTCCGGAAAAAAGAAAGTGTCTTCGTTCTATAGATCTAACGTTCAGTGCTTCCAATTTTCCGCCATTTTTTAGTTTCCCCCACACCTTTTCTGCCAATCCGATGCCCGCCGCCTCATTTATACGCCCCCACCCCCCATGTTTCCCACTTTCTTTGTTGTAGAAAAAGGTAAAATTGAAGATTAGCAGACCGCCTGGCACCTGCATATTATGAGCTGTGTAAAAAAAAAGACCGATTCATTGAAAATACAAAGCCTGTGTCATCTCGATTGTTTACCAAGAAAAAGTTGTGTTGCTGTGTAGAGCTGAGCACACGGCAACTTTTGATTCCATAGACCAGCGCACAATTCATTACGTAGATCTACGTCAAGACTAGCTTATTATTGTATTAATGATCAGTTGCCATTGGAAAAAAGACTGACGCGTATGCGACGTTCGACGCCCGGACCGATAGTGCCCCCCCACCCCCTCCCCGACACGCACACACAGCTACACGTGTGCAGGCCGCCCATCCGACCCCGACACACGCTAACGAGCCATCTTTAATTGCTTCTGATGGCCTCTTGACAAATAAACATTTATTAGAAGCGCTATAACTTTTCAGGCCGGCCTCAAATTCATCATAAGATAAAAACTCGGCTCCTGCACAAAACGCCATTTTGCCCGAAGTGATCCCGGTCACTACCCAGCCTGAGGCGAGTCACGAGTGAGGCAGGACAGGAAGCCGGAGTCACAGGAAGTCGGAAGTGATGTCATGCTGGACAAGAATCAGAGTCCGAATAACATTTTTTAATATATTCGGACTCGAGTCTGAAAAGTCATTTCGTATTATTATTACTCGTTCCCAACCATGGGGGTGGGGGGGAGGGGGTATGAGAATAGCCAGACATGTGTTATTCTCACCCAGGGTGAGGGGTGAGAATAAAAGTGGCCATGACCTAAAGAGTCTTAAGTCACTCTGCCCATTTCGTTGTAGGTCAGCAGTAGATAGATTAAATCTAGATCATATTAAAATAATATTTTTGATCTACAATCTAGATCTCTGGATTCTAGATTATTATATGATCTAGATTTATAATAGGAGTGAAAGTAAAATAATACCTCCAATTGAATTAAATTGTGTCACGACGTAATGGAATCAGGCGCTTATCGATTTTGGAGCATATATGATTATATGTGGACCGTGGAGTTATTATAGATATTTGCGATTGAAGGAGTTTCTTGGTTTCTGTTGTAGTAGTAGTAGTATAGGGTTTTACGGCGCTCGCAACTGCTAAGGTCATATGAGCGCGCTTGGTTTCTGTAGTAAAATTTTCGAAAAAATGGCCGCCAAAGTTTGGTGACATCCATAGCTTGAGAGTCCTTGAAGACTGAAAACTGACATGTTTTGTGCCTTAAACCAACGCTTTTCCCTTAAAAACCACACTGACATGCATGTGTTTTCTAACGGAAGTAAAAGATGCTTGAGCGCAAAAACAAAAATTCAAACTTCAAACCAGCAGAAAAATGACAGTATCTTTGATTTCATTATTTTGACAAGCGCCTGATTTCACCATGATGCCTCACAATTAGTAAATTGGAATTACAGGTGCATGTATTATTTGAATTAATGTAGGTGTATTGTTGGCTGCTCTTACAATACTACACACTGCCGCAACATCATCAAGTAACTTGATTAGTTATATATAGCCCTGTATTCACCTCAATGATAGACCTTTGGGTTGAAAAATAAAATCACATGGCATTCAAATGGCTCAGGCATGCTTCAAATAGCTGTGAATTGCACAAAAATCGTGAATATTGTCCTAATTCTAGCAGTACTTGGCCGAACTTGGCACCCTTCCAGCGTCCAGGGTGGAATTGCCAAGTTATGAAGACCTTTTAAATCAATTTCTTTCCCTGATTTGGTCTGGATCAGACAAACCTTTACGATGGCGACTTTGCGAAGAGACTACAAAATGTGATACTCACAAGACAACAGGACCATGCAGTCCATAACATTATCCCAACAATAATTCCTGTCCAAATCATCTGTGTACTATCTTCTATTGTTTCCTTGTTTGCCCAGTCTCTTGGCATCTGCTCCTAAAAAAGATGCATGTCCAAGATTTAAAGTTCAGAAGCTTAATTTAATTAAAATTATGGTATTATTTATTTATTTTCATTTTAAATAATGACTAAGTAAAAAATTGGTTTTCTTGATTTGCTTTGAAAGGTCAAAAATAGTGTAATCATGTGTTGATACAGAAAGAGACAAGCACTTTCATGACTTTTCATTTTAATTGATTCACAGCTGGCGGCTGCTGGGTTCTACTTCCGACCAAGTCCTGAGGCCCCGGACAACGTTTGCTGTCCTTTCTGCAACAAGGAACTGGATGGTTGGGAGCCTGATGACGACCCGTAGTGAGTTACTTTCTGGCACACTCACTGTGTGAAAAATGGCCAATATCTCTACTCCGTCGGAAAGCCCCTGAGGAGATGACATGTTGATTCCATCTTTTGTGTGTCTCCACACTTGCTCTATTCTGGTCTTTTTGATTTAACTTGTACAGTACAAATGAACTTTGTTTCTTTTAATCTATTTATGTATGATGATTAAGTACCGTACTTTTGTTTTCCTTTCTGTGGGATGTTCATAAATACAAAGCTGACTAAGTTTCAAACTAGAGTCATTTTCTTCTCCTTGCTACTGAAAATAGTGAAAGTGTCCAAGACTCGCTGATATATGTGAGGCAGCGTGGTGGAATCAGGCTCCCGTCAAAATAATCAAAGTGAAGAAACTTGCATTTTGCCGCAGGTTTGTGGTTTTTTATCTAATTTTTTTTTTTTTTTTTTTTTGGCTCAACACCTTTCATGCGTATTAAAGAACTCATTTCTGTGTGAGTTTTTCTGAAAAAGGTTGATTAAAGGCACACAAAAAACGTAAATTTTCTCTTACCACGGACTCTTTTAAGCTAAGTAAACAACTTATCTTTGGCAGCCCTTTTCTCACTAATTTTACCTCTGAAAACAGGTGACCCCCACCTCCTTCTTTCGTAAATATCTCGACTTGTATAAAGATAAATGGATATTTTTTCATCCAAATAAAGACAAGTGAACAAGCTTTAAGATGATACTAATAACTCTACATGCCCAAAAATTGACGACAGCCTGATTCCACCGCGCTGCCTCACATATTATGTTTCGACTAGACTTACTAGATGTTTGCTTTACAGACTTGCTCGCAGCTCATTAAATAATCTCTATTCTAGGACTGGGGGAAAAAAATCATGATTGTACTTCTGCTGGTGATCCACACCCAGCATGCATGATGCTCAGGCAACCACCCCACCCCGTTTTCACACACACTCTCGGGCACTCACAGTTTATTGTACGCGATTAGTACGTTTGTTGGCTGCCTATCTGACCTCTCCTGACCCCAGCACACAGTCAGACTCACATGTCTTCAACTCATGTGTTCGTGTAAATGTTTTGATTGGTAGCAGAAGAGGTTTATGTGTCTTTGATTGGTACATCATAGTGTTGGGCTGTCCTCGTCGTTTTATTGCTCGAAAAATTCTGAAATTATGCAAACTGAGCTCAAATATGTGAAATTATGCGATTGTTAATTTTAACAAAGAATGATAAAGGAAAATAATAAGAAATTATGAAAAAAAATGATCAAATTTTGCTAAATTATGCGGGGTGCATAAAACCATAGAGACAGGTTGGGGCAGAAAGTGTATGATAAACAATGAGCCTGTAATGATGGACAGTGCTGAGCAATTGATGATCCCTTGGGAAACTGTACAAGTAGACAAGGTTTACAGCCTTGCTGCTGGCAAGTTTTCTTGTTTAGTGCTTTCTGAATACAAGGCATTTTAATTTTATTGATTCTATTTAATGAACGAAATCCGGGAATCCTTATCCTTTTGCTGGGTTTGAGTTTTCACTATAAGTTTGAGGGTAATCTGTCACCGCGGTTTTATGCAAAAAAAGATCTGAAATTATGCAAACCGAGCCCAAAAATGTGAAATTATGCGATTCTGTTAATTTTAACAAAGAATGATAAAGGAAAATAATCAGAAATTATGCAAAAAATGATCAAATTTTGCTAAATTATGCAGGGTGCATAAAACCACGGGGACAGGGTAATAGAAAGATTGTCGACTCACTACTTTTCATTTTTCCTAATTCCCTGCCAGATTGCTATGAATTCCAAATTCTAAGTTATTTATTGTGTATTTAATTTGTTTATTCCTTCCCTCAGCCAAGAACACAAGAAGCACTCTCCGAGATGTTCCTTCTTGCTCCAGAGGAAACCGATTGAAGACCTGACCGTGACAGAGTTTACCCGCATGTTGATGAACATAGCAATTCTCAGAACCGTAAGTTGTACCCTGGCTGTAGCCAGGAGCATGTGTGGACAGTTGTGTTGAGACGCGGTGGAATCAGGCGCTCGTCAATTTTTGGGCGTGTGGAGTTATAGTATTGGTATAAGCTTTAAGTTTGTTCATTTTTCCTTGCTTTTGATGAGAAAAATAAGCATTTGTCTAGTATAGAAGTAGAGATATTTGCTATTGAATGTGGTGGGTTCGCCGAGTTTTAGAAGTAAAATTAGGAAGAAAATGGCCACCAAAGTTTGGTGACTTCCATAGATTGAGAGTCAATGGAAAGCAAAAATGGATATTTTTGTTGTGTCTTTAATCAACGATTTTCAGTAAAATCTAAGCGGAAATTTGATTTTGAATGGATATTAAAGGCGTTGAGTAAAAAAAGAAAAATTCGATAAAAATTGCTAAACTGGCGGGAAAATGCTGATTTCTTCGATTTCATTATTTTGACGAGGGCCTGATTTCGCCGCGATGCCTCACAATTTATCTATCCTCAGAGAAATTCGCGCGCGCAACCCGCAAGTTGCGCACGCAACTTTTGGCCTCAACGCAACTTTTGCCATTTTCGTGAATTCCCGAATTTTAAGCTATTTTCAGTTAAAGTTGGAAAAATAATAATTTGATTTCGGTAAAAATAACCGAAATTTTCTTCCTCAACTAAAAATAACGACGAGAAGGGGGACAATTCGTACCAGAAATTAGATCTGCCACTTCTTTTGCACTACGGGGATGAGATTGTGTCAGGATGATCGCCCGACTCGTTGCCTGAAAACAACGCCGCGTTTGTTTTTGAGGCAACGACTCACGAGTCGGGCGCGATCGATGTGTGCCACGATAGCCACTTTGCGCCATCAGTCTGTCGAGCAAACCGACCCGTCCCGACCTGACCTCCCCAATAGTCCTGTTTGGACTGAATCATCTTCTACTTCTTCTAGATCTAGTTAAATCTAGGCTGTAGATCTAGATGTCTATAGAGTAAACTCAATCGTAAACACGAACGTCTGATTACTTAGCTTGCTTGGCTCCGTGGCACCAGCTAGATAGATCTAGTATAAAAATTTGTGAAAGACTTAAGTCTTAGGCCAGGAGGCTAGATCTAGACATTGATCGATTCATCCAGAAAACCCCTAAAGGGGTCGTTCAAATATAATCTTACACCTGGGAAAGGCCTAAAAGGGGGGGGGGGTCTTGACTAATGTATAAGAAAAGGGGAAGGGGGGGGGGGGGTTGTTAACCAATGTGATATTACACTTTTGTAAGGTGAAAAAATAACAAGGAAAATAATTTATGACAACACAAATTTTTAAAAACAAAACATGACATAAAAAAAGAGTAAACTCTGCTATTCACTTAGTTTTTCCGGAAAGGTTCCGCTTATACCATAGATCTATTTAATTATTATGTCACATGTGTGTATGCATGTTTTTCATGAATACTATTATAGTAAAGCGCATAGACCAATGATTGTAACACAGATTTGCGCTATATAAATGTCATATTATTTAAAGCGAATGAATATTAGTATTACGGGATTTGGGGGGAGAGAAGAGGAGGAAAATGTAAGAAAAGTGTAAGGTGGGGGGGGGGGGGGGCAAAAATCCCCCAAAAGGTGTACGATTATATTTGAACAGCCCCAAGACCACACTGGTCACACCTGCCCAACGTCAGCGAGAGTTTAAGTTTAAGGACCTGACACAAGTAAACTATGCAACCTTCGTGCAGTTGGGTTGTTGTTTGTTTTGTTTTTGGTTGTTTTTTTTTTGGGGGGGGGGTTGGTACGGTAGACATTCACATTGAACTTTTGATTTTGATCAAACAAAACTCACGTAGGTTACTTTGATTGCAATGGGCATACACAAACAATGTATTCCAATAATTCCATGACATTTTAGCTATACACGTCATGCAACTTTTCTTGCAACTTTTGTTGATTTTTCTTGCTACTTTTGCTATTTTCAAATGCAACTTTCTCTGAGGACAGATTTATAGTTTGAATCTAAATGGGGTCTGATTTTACCCATTTCCGAGTATACTTCACTCTAGCCACCAGATGTCTTGAGGTGTTTACGTTTCACAAAGAACTCTAAACTGCTTCATCTGTCCCGCATTACGTGTTGGCTGCCTAGCAATTATGAATTATAATCCTTTTCCGGGTTCATGTATGCTTTGGGGACCTCAGTCATTAATGGAGTGATGAGTAAATTTGAAAATGTCTAGCTGTGTTGCGTGAAATTGTATCTATTGTATAGCAGTCAGTCAGTAGCATACCGCTACATTGCTTGGGCTTGGCTTTTAAAAAACCCAAAAACACCAACCAGCCGCAGTACGCCCAGCTTTCTGTTTTAGTTTTTCTAGACTACATGCCTGTGTCTGATAAAAGAGATTTTTGTGAGATCATATATGTGAGGCAGCGTGGTGGAATCAGGCTCTTGTCAAAATAATGAAATCGAAGAAAACAGCAGTTTCCCCGCTTACCAATTTTTATCAAATTTTTGTTTTTTGGCTCAACACCTTTTATGTCCATTTAAAAACACATTCCTTTGAGGATTTCACTGAAAAACATTGATTAAGGGGAGGAGCGACCCTTGATTTTGCAGATTTTGGGTCAGGCTATGCACATTTTATATTGGCTGATTTTTTAAGATAAACTTGTTTTTTTGTCTAAAAATAGCATGGATACAATTGAGAAAGACTTTATTCTCCAGGTAAATTGCCTTTAAAAACATGAGGATGGATTAATATAGTGAATTTTCACTATTATTGTCGGTTTTCAAAAAATGTAATTTTTGTGCAGTTTTTTCCCTACTCCTTCCTTAGTTTTCATCCTTTTGACATGAAACTTTCAGGAAACATAGTTGGCACGGCTACCATCAATGTAACAGAGAGATATTTGCGAAGAAATTAATACTATTCCATTGGCAAGCAGTTACGCAACCTAAATTTTTAAAAAGTTTTTTTATACTTTGGGAAAATTCTCATATTTATTTTTCTTTTGCACTTATTGAAAAAAACTTGCTTTTACACTGATAGGGTCTGGTTTAAGTATACTCTCCCCACATTTGGTCAAATTTAGTCTGTAAATAAGAAATCCTTAGGGATTTGAAATCCATTGTTTATTTTCAAGATGGCGGCCGTTTCCATAGCAACAGCTTTAGCTATGTCAAAATGAAATTGCGTATCAAGAGATTTTACCATGTCTAACTTATATGTGTACTTAGATTTGATCTCGGGCAACAAACATAGAAAATGGTCCTCAAGGGTAGCTCCTCCCGTTAAAGGCAAACAAAATTTTAATTTTCAGTTACCACGGACTCTTAAGCAAAGGAAAGAACTATCTTTGGCGGCCATTTTCTCACTAATTTTACCTCTGAAAAAAACTGACCTCCACCTCCTTCATCCGCAAATATCTCGACTTGTATTCAAGATAAATGGATATTTTTCCACCCAAATAAAAACAAATGAACAAGCTTTAAGATGATATCAGTAACTCTATATGGCCAAAAATTGACGAGAGCCTGATTCCACCACGCTGACTCACATATATGCCATTGTTACTAAAATCGCCAGTGATACTAAAAGTGTTTCAGGAAAAAACTTTTCGTTTTGGCAAGTTTTTATGCCACTGGATTTGCTGAAAGTAGCAGCCAAATGATGATGGGTTTGAATTGTTTGCATTTGGTTGTTATTTTGCTTGTCCCCGTTTAACTGTCTGTACATTTTATGTTAAAATGTTTAGGTTTTTGTGGGGAGGGTGAGGTGGTTATTTTGTTAGTGTCCACAGGCTTATTTTTACACGGTTTGATGCTTTTTCTTTACAATGAAACTTGTTTTTTCCCCTCTACAGGAAAAGATCTTTGACCACAAGGCAAAAGAACTCGAAGCGGCTTCAGCGGAAGCAAGAAAGTTGATTATAGAAAATAATGTTGTGTAATGTAAGAATGCATATCCTTTGTTCCTATGGGTTTGATGTAAAAACAAAGATGTACCTGAATACATACTATGTTGCTGTTTTCTTGATTTTTGGTTGCTTTTATTTTTCTCAACTAGTTTTTAAAAGTTCTCCTTCGACACACATATTTCATTTTTGTCGAAGTCAGCTAAAGCACAACTGTGTGTATCTTAAGATACGGAAGAATACTGTTTGTCAATATACAAAATGAACCTAGCCCGGATTCTGACATTTACTCCTGATTCTGGCAGTCACAGTATGAAATTTTAAAACTCCTTCTAAAGCTCAGCATTGTGAGTTGTGAGGACTTGATTGAATGATGGAAATGGTACTGGTAACTGTTGATCTGAGATCAACTATTTTTAACAGTTTTGTTAGCACTGGAACTAATTATGTAGTGGCTCTTTCTGTATATAGCCTTCCACTGTCCTTCATCTCTCTTTCTCTCTCTTTCACTTTTTCTATGTGTGGAAAATATATTATATAAATGCATTCACTTGTGCACTCATTTTACCACACGCTGGAACACCCTCTCTCACAAGTAAACTGTGTGTGTGTGTCCTGCCTTTTTAATTTATGACTTCTATTTTTCCACGCCATGCTTTCTGATTTCTTTACAGTTTGTCTTTTTGCTTTTTAATACTTAACTAAGTGGGTGGTTGGCGGGTACTCTGCTGTGGTTTGCTCCTTCTTTCCTATTAAACAACTATCGTCTTTATCTCTCCTTTTTTGTGTTTGTTGTTACTCTCTTGTAACTCCTGTAATCTTCGGCACTTTCATATGACCTTACTGTGTTGCAAGTGCCGTAGAACTCTTTTCTAAAACTAAAATACTTAACTATGTCTGGCATTATGAGGGTCCATGGTCGAAAAGGTCCAATTCAGTATGTAAACTCATGTATATATTTACAATACAGAGGTACAGTACTTGTAAAGCAAGGATGACTCATTACTAGTCTAGACATGTCATTTTGCTTAATTATTATATACATGTACAAAGAGTTTGCAGCTATTTGTGTTGTTCCCTGTTTTTATGTTTGTTTTTCTCTCAGAATTAAAGCTTGTTCGCTTTTGTCTGTCCGCGTAAAAAAATTTTAGATTTAGCCTATTTATTACTTTACCTATGCCCACATTACTTTGCATGGCACTTCTGCAGGCCAGCGACCGAACAAAATTTTTTTTTTTTTAATCTTGATCCAGAAGTACAAAAATATAAATTTGGGCCCTATGTACTAAAAATAAAAACAGCTCTTTGAATGCATACACAAGATCACTAAAATAAAATGGCTTGCAGTAGCCTTGCCGACAAATTGCTCATTTTGAGAGTGACACCACTGTGCCCCTAAGCTCGTAGATTTCATCCCCCGGTTGTCTAGACGTCTCCACATGAGTCTCGAAAATTACTAACCCTGTCTCTTTCATCCTATTTCTTAGGTGAACGTTAAAGTGTGGTTTTGAGAAAATATGTCAAATTTTAAGTGTTTTAAGTGTATACTGTAAATCTCCTATTATTTTTTTTACCCACTTTAGGCTTACATCGAAGAAAACGTGTTGAAACCTTAGGTTGCGGTGACCTTTATGGGTGGGCTTTTAGGTTCTGTTGGTCATCCAAATTTTAGACTCGTATGCAAAGATCTGACAAGATCAAAGAGAGCGATTTCATGCTATTTTGTTTTTACTGCGGTCAGATGAAAGTGACCAAGCTATAGTGGCCAAAATCTGTGTGATAATAGATAATAAGATAGCATTTGTATAGCGCAAATCCCCGAACAACAGCAAGCTCTATGCGCTTCACAATCTATACTATTACCCCAGCAGACCTTAGAGCATTATGAAACAAACTCAACTTCCTGGGAAGCATACAGTGCAAGCAGCCATTTATAGGCGCTAAAACACTAACATACTGACAAGATCTTTGATGTCTATGGCTGGGTACCCATTTCCACCTGGGTGAAGTGAGGAAAATTCGTGTAAAGTGCCTTTCCCAAGGACACGACGTCGGGCCCGCGGCTTGAACTCATGACCCCGCAACCTCACGATTACGAGTCCGGTAGCCTAACCACTAGGCCACCGTCGCCACAATCCATGTGATGAATCCATGTTGTGAATTAATGATGCTTGACAATTCAATGTACATTTTTATGACTCATTGCCGAATGGGAACAAAAAAACTGCATCAAGTGTTGATTGTTCATGTGCCACAAGCAGTACAGAGGGCTATTTTTTCTCTTTTTTATTGTTTGTTTGTTACAATCTTATAATCACCTAGACAGAGGGTCATGGGTTTTGATAATGTCTGCATAAGATACTTCATTGTCTTACTCTTTCTACCCAACCTTTCACACCACCTACTGTTGTTAGCTCAGTTGGTATCTTCCTGAACCTCATTGTTTTAGTAGATGTTTTATGGCGCTCGCAACTGCATAAGGTGATATGAGTGCCAAGGGGTGGATGTCAACAGTGAAGTCCTTACAGGGAATCGGGCTTACTCTGGTCGCCTCTTAAGCTTCAACTGCACAAAGTGTGTTTCGACTATCAAGGCACCCCGGAAATAGCGGGTCACAAGAGTGTGACTAACATACAAAAGAAGTAGAGGAAAAATGACAATACATGTAGTAAGGATAAGGAAAGAAAAAGCAGTTCCCCATTGCAGTTCAGGCAGATATGAGCATAATGTTGATGAATCAGCCCATTTACAATTTACAATTCTACTATGCATAAGAACAAATTAAAGCCCCCCACTTGGGGAATGGCCTAAAGTAAAGACATTTCAGTCAGTAGCACCATCCGGGGGGGTGGAAGCTCGTTGATGATGACATGTCCTTGAACTAGGGTTGCTTGGGGAGTGACACTACTATGTGCGGGGGGTTGGCGAGTATTCTTGTGTCGTTTTTTCTTTTCCTATCAAATATCTATTTCTTTTGTGTGTTTGTTACTCTCTTGTAACGCCTCTAAATCTTCAACATTTATAGGACCTTATATTGTGTTGTAAGTGCCCTTAAACTATAGACTCTCTGTCCTATCCAGAGTCCAACAATGAAACTGAGGATCCTACCTCTCATTTTTTGTGTAGCATTGTAAGGGATGGAGGACCCTTACTTAGACTATACCATTATGATTATTGAATTGCCTGCTCACTCTTTCCTTTTGTACTGCCTTTGAATTTGAACCGTATTATTGCCTGTGACCTTAAATAAAACTATGCAGTTTGAACATGTACCCCATTCTGTCCTGTTTCCTGTGTCTTTTCATTCAATGGCATTGAATTTTTGCAGCTGGTTCGACTCATTGCCAAACCTACGTCTTAATTTGTTGTTTCTATAGCTGAGCCTAGACTTAAGCAATTGGTCAAATTATTGAAGCTTAGCTACATAAGAAAATATGAGATATCATGGTGAAATCAGGTGCTTGTCAAAATACATGGAATCGAAGACACCGTCATTTTTCCCCTCCTTTGGCAATTTTTGGTCTATGTTTTTTGGTTCAACACCTTTTTGATCATGTAGAAGCATATGTCTGTGAGGATTTTACTGAAAAATGTTGATGAAGGGCACAAAAAATATAACTTTGAAATTTTCATGGGCTCTCAAGCTTTGGAAGTCATTAAAACTTTGGCAGCCTTTTTCTCGCTAATTTTACCTCTGAAATTAAGCAACCCCCCCCCCCCCCCACCCCCTTTCAGTGGCAAATGTCTTGACTTCTATTCAAGATAGGTGGGCGTTTTTTTCATGGAAAGCAGCACTAAGGAACAAGATGAACTCCACATGCTCATAATTTGACAAATGCCTGATTCCACCACGTCATGACACAAATGTTCTGTTCATCCTTTCTGCAAGAAAATTGATCCCCGTTTCCTTATGGGGTGGGAGATCTTTTTTGTATGTGTATACAAGTTTATGACTCGTTGCTAAATTGCAAACACCCCTGTTTGCTCATTAGATGTGCTTCAGTCAATGTTTAGAAACCTATCTATAAATTAGTATAAACTAAACAAATTGGAATTTAGCTTTTTTTTTATGAAAAAAAAATTGAAGATTACTCTTTTTTCAGAAAGAAAGTTTTTTTTGTCAGTAGGCTCGTCCTCAGTTTTCAAACATGTTCCTTAAGTTCACCTAGATCTAGTATCAGGAATGGTTGTTTTGTAGATTCAGAAAAGTTGATGTTCATTAACACAAGTGAATGTTTTGTCCATCTGTCATGAGTTAAGAAAGGCATACCTGTTGCACATTTAAATTGGCTCTACTGTACCTTGTTCAAGGTCTGAAATTTTACTGAGTTTTCCAACTACAGATAAATGTTTATAAATTACATTATAATTATAATAGATCCACACGCTCCAAAATCTCCCTAAAAGTCAAAGGCTTTCTTGACTTCCCGATTGCACCCCAGGAAGGCTATTGAATATTTAGATTGTAGTCTAGTGATTTGGCTGTCAGACTTGCAACTGTAAGGTGGGTTCCTTGGGAAAGGCACTTTACCCTAATTTTCCTCACTTCACCCAGGTTAGAATGGGTACCCAGATATAGACAGTGAAAGATCTTGTCAGTTTGTTAGTGTTTGAGGACGTACCTGTACGCTTCCGGGGAAACTGAGAATATTTCAGAGTGTTCTGTTTTCCATGGTCTGCTGGGGCTATTACATAATAGTGTAAAAATAAAGTGCACAGAGCTTGATGTCGAGCGGGATATGCGCTATATATACATATGCTATTTATAAGTATTATCATCATCACCATCTCAGTCCTCTGCGAGAATATACAGCAATGACACTGCTCAGCACTTGATGCTCTCATGCAAACATGTGTAAAAATCATAACAATACAGAGTAACCAGGCTCTCGTCAATTTTTTAAAATGGAGTCATTGTTACATTTTGTATAATCTTAAAACCTATTCATTTAACTTGCTTTCGATTTTTTTTAAATACTCATCTTAAATAGATGTCATGATATTTGTGTTTGAAGGAGTCAGGGGTCGCTCAGTGTCAGAGGTAAAATTAGTGAGAAAATGGCCAGCAAAGTTTATTGACTTCCAAAGCTGTGTAGTTTCCATGGAAACTGAAAATTTACTTTTTTTTTGTGCTAGTATGTACGCAGGAATGCGTTTTTAAATGGACATAAAAGTGGTAAGTGAGACCAACACAAAAAATAGAAAAAGTGCCCAGCAGGTCGAAAAATGTCGGTTTCTTCCATTTCGTTGTTTTGACAGGCACCCAATTTCACCACGATGCCACACACATACTGTGGAACTCGGATTCAACGAGAAGAGATAGATTCCCCGTTTTTTTCTTCTTTAAAATCAATCAAAATAACCCGGATTCAACGAGCCCTTAAATCAGCAAGCTCGGATTCAACGAGGTCGCTTCCAGGGTGAACTGCCCCCGCAGACGTGGCTTCGCTCATTTTTCTCCCAGAACGAACTTTATTTATTCCCAGAAACCATCCATTGCACCTGCATCGTGAACCATTATTCACTTACTCGATTGCATGCGACCAATCAGTGACCTTTTTTCATACCAACACATGCATTGTTGGAACGCGCACCTGTCTGCTCTGGCGTGTGTCGGGGTCGGATGGGCGGCCTGCACATGTGTGACTGTGTGTGCGTGTTGGGGAGGGGGTGGGGTGGCACGAGCGGTTCGGGAGTTGAACCTCGTAGATACAAACACGTCACAGTCTTTCTTTTCCCCTCTGCAACAGATCACTATTACAATGATAAGCTAGTCTTGACGAAGATCTACGTAATGAATTGTGCGCTGGTCTATGGAATCAAAAGTTGCCCTATGCTAGGCTCTTCTACACTGCAACACAACTTTTTGGTAAGCATTTGAGATGGCACAGGCGTGCATTTGAACGAATCGGTCTTTTTTTTTTTTTTTACACAGCTCATAATATGCAGACATTTCAGGCACTACTTGTGACTTCTCTTTTAACTTCGTGTTTGCTATAACGAACACTCGGATTCAATAAGATTTTAGGTCAGGCCTGGCGACCTTGTTGAATCCGAGTTCCACTGTATTTTTCTGTGTCCATTACCAAGTATGTCTGTTCAGCTGTGTCATACACACACAATCAGTTCATAGAAATGAATTCACGGACAGCAGCATTGCCACAGTGACTATTCCATTTATTCTTTGTCAAGGTATATTACAAACGCAAAAGTTGCTCAGTCAAGATTTTTTTTTTAAACGGACATTGTTTGGAATGCTGCGATTTATGGAATGTCTGGCCAAAAGTATAAAATGCTAATAAAATATAGATGGACATTTGGTTACTACGTTTCGATGAGTAATGTACAAAAATGGTTACATGACAGCTAATGATTAGCATACTCCATATAATGTACCGAATAGCACAACCGCTCAAACAACAGTTTCAAATGAACAATTTCTTTCATAACAATGCATCAAAATACAGCTGAACTAAGTTAAACACACTACTATAGCTTCAAAGAAGACAACTGGCTGGTACAGAGGCCTTTAAGATGTTATTTTCAAGAGAAGATAGAATAACAAATGACAATCTGCCAGTGTCTGTAAGAAAAATTGTACAGGGTCGATTATTTATATTCCAGTTTAAAAAGCACAATGCTGTGTCTGGAGGGTGGTTAGTTTAGATCGCAATAACCAACCCTTCATTCAAATCTCGATTGTAACAGGCATGGCATACTCCAGACTTCCAAAAAATTTTTTACACCATGCCTAAAAGCACTATTGTTATTATACTGAACCTTTAACACTTTGCCATCATATTTTGGGGAAAATCCAAAGAAAACTGAGTGATAAACATCGCCAATCAGTGAAATGAGGCGGCAAAGTGATAAAGTGGTATTAATTTATAAGTTAAAATCTGAAATAAAAACTAAGAAATTCACATTCACATACAACATGAATTTCCTTTCAAATATATAGCTATTCCTCAAGCTTTAAAAAATTGGTCATAAATTTTTGGTTCATTTTCACTCTCTCATGATAGAAGTAAAATGGGAATGTACAAGAGGGAACTATCTACACTGCACGTAACGCTGTTGTTGCTGTTCAGATGTCCGATTCATCCCGCGACTTGTTCAAGATGAGCTTGAAATCTCGACGACTGTGGAAAAACAAACAGAGAGAGTATGAATAGACTTTACCAGCTTAAACACTTTAACTCCCAGCGGCTCGCAGTTGGAACCGCTGACAGCGGCTCGGGCACATTCCTATACGAGAACATTGGCATTAAATTACTTTTCAGCAACAGGTCTCGTATGAGGATTTCATTTATTAAACTAAGACCTATCAAAATAGGTTCACTTGTTTTGATTTAATGATCAATTTATTGACGTTTTTATCATTTTTAGATTTAGTACCAAAAAAGGGGCTCCGGCATAGTGTGTGTGTGTGGGGGGGGGGGGGGGGGGATTTGCTTTCTCCATCAATGTTACAAAACATGATTGTTTTAAAAAGGATTCCCTGATCACAGTTACATCTATAAAATCGTTGAATGAGTGGTGAAAAAAAAAGCAGAAAGACCAGCTCATGTACTGTTGTATCTAGCCTACTACACTACACTGATATTGATAAGTCAGGAAAAGATAAAATTTTAAGGAAACTGTTGGTGATAGTCTATAGGGAGAATGCTCTGTCAAACACCTTTCTTAGTGACCACTCCCGACTACCTTTCTTCTATCTATTGCAAATCGGTATATGCTTGGATGGTCGGTATTAACACTATCCACCCACGCAGTGTGCGCAACACTTGTCCCCACGGACCAGGATGTAGATACAGTACATCAGCACTATATCTCTATCACAACAAAAATAAACCAACCAATATGAAATTTTCGGTACTTTGAGAAAATTTAACGTGATGATCGCATGTTCACCAAAAAAGGAATAAGAATCGGAACTGAAAACATTAGATCTAGCTCATTCATCACCAGAATTCTCATCATGGCGTAAGTATAAATCAGCACTTATGCCAGGTCTACTCGACATTTTTCATAAAAATTTACTCCAATAGTTTTAAAAACCGAACTTTCTGCCCACGGCGCACAAGCAGTGGAATTTTAGTTGCCGAGAGGGGTTCCCCGCCGGGCGCCTTATCACGTCGGGGTCACGGAGGTCAGCTCCCTGTCGTCGCTCTGTCCGGGCCGACTTAATTTTTGGTACTTTTCAACGTACAATTTAACTTTTAAGGTGTACGGTATCCTGGTATTTATGGTAATTCTCATTTAGTGCACCCAAAGCATGCATTTCTGCTCTTGAGACTCAAAAAAGAACAGACGTTGTAACTTGTCTGGTTATTTCGTTAGACGCGCTGGAGTCGGCAATGCTAAATTGTAATTTTTTTTTGACTAGCGTGAACGAAAAAAAATCAATACAGTAGTCTCCGCCTAAACGCACTGTGCTCGGGAGGGCTCCTTAGCGTGTGTTTATACGGAGCGTGCATTTACATAAAGGGGAGGAAGGGACGCAGTCATCTCATTGCCTTGATATTCTAGTGACCTCCTTTTGGGGTGGGGGTCACTTTGGGCTGATAATGTGACGACACGTGACTGTTTTGTAAAAGATTCCCAGACTGCGGTTAAGACTGCAAAGGCGTTGAATGGGTGTGTGTGTGTGGGGGGGGGGGAGGGGCAGAAAGACAGACTCGATGTAAAGAAAGCGCCATAAAATGTCGGGTAACCAATAGCCTAAAACGAAATTGGGGATAGTCAAAGAGACGACAGCCCAGCCACGTGGCTTTCCAAGCGACCACCCCCGACCGTAAATTCAAGAACGAGCATTCACGCTTGTTGCACATCATAGGCATAGGTCTAACTAAACATTAGCCAACCCGCAGTCACTTAAACACCAGTCAGAAACCTTCTCTCAAAGAGAGGCATTTCCAGTGACCAATCAAATATTTCAGTCCCCGAACATATCACCCGACCAGTCCTAGACCTATGTGTCTGTGGAAAGTTGGGTGTGAAAACGCTGTCCGTTGCTCTCTTTGTTCTGCGTAAGGGGCAGTCTCGCCAAATATTCGATTTTTCTAGGCTTGTCTTCTGCAAGCTGTGCAGATCGTACAGTAGTCGTTGTGAAAATTTCCCTCAATCAAGCTTTACCTGTCAGCGTGATTCGCAGATCGGAGCGTGCATTTAGAGGGAGTGACCGTGCGTTTGTACGTCTAAATTATATGACGAAATTCCTAAAACCAGGGACACCTGCCAAACATGAGACATCAGCTGATATGAGAACAACAACTTTTGATGGATTGAAAAATTGAACATGCTCAAGGAACAAAATCCCAACCCATAACTAAGACCTTCTAACAAGGGAAATAACCAACTTGTCACATAAATGAGACTTGTTACGATGATTACTTCCCTTTAGTCACACGGCGAGGCATTAATTGTTTTGTGATTAAGAAAAAAGGAAAAAAACATGAAAAAACGCGAGGAATCCAAAATTATGCAAATGTTGCAGAATTACGCAAAAAAACGCTGTGGCTGCACAATCGCATAGTCCTACGGGGACAGTATATCACACCGTCACCAATCAGCGCCCCCTGGGGGAAAAGTGTTATATTCTGAGCAATTGTACTGAATTGCATTAAGTAAAAAGCCATTGTCAGTTTGTTCATCAAAGCAGATACATTGAGATCTTTGATGAAGAAAGTTAGCCTACAACTTACTCCTCGTCAGGAATCCTCTCCACACCGCCAAACCGAGGCACGCCCCTCGGGCGGCGACCTTGCTCCTCATCCAGGGGTATCCGAGCCCCGCCTCCTTGTGGTGGGGGTGGGCGGCGGTCATCTGGTCCCCTCTGACCATTGGGGGGCGGTGACCTTCTTCCGGGAGGGGGCGACCTTCTTCCGGGAGGGGGTGACCTTCGTCCAGGAGGTGGGGACCTGCGACTCGGGGGAGATCCTCTGTGCACAAAGAGAGGACATCAAAAAATCAAAATATAGTAGTGTAGGCTACAACACTCTACACAGATAGCTCAAATTTGCTAGGACCGACCTCAGTAGTTCAAAAGATATCTTACAAAGATAAAGAATTTAAAACAATGGGACCACAGGCACAGCTCAACAGATGCGTGATTTTGATTCTTCTGTGTTCGCATATCCCTGTTAAACTGTATTCTGAAAGTTACTTGTTTATTTCTTATATATTTACTTTAAGAAATTCTGAAATTCCAATGACAAAAATGAGGTCAACTTAAATGCAATTCCAAAATATCCCACCATTACATGGAGCTCAGAAAAAAAACTAAGAATAAGAAAACTCGGAACTTCAAATGCATTAAAATAGGGTTTCAACTAATGGGCTTTGTGATTAACTGTCTCGTCAACCCTTAAAATTTCAATGAACAAAGTTTTCTCATGAAACCCAGAAGGGGTGTGGGCTACCAAAGGATAAGTGAGCAATCTCCGTAGCCTTTTATGAAACTGTAAAGAACGTAGATGCTAAGCCAAGATTTGTTCTTACTTGTACATAGGTCATTCCTAAGGAAGAAAACATAGCCAATAATAATTATTTTAGTTTTAGCGAGTGTAAAACGGCACTTGCAGCACAATAAGGTCGTTTAAGTGCCAAAGAATAGAGGGGTTACAAAAGAGTAACAAACACAAAAAAGAAGGGGGAGATATTAGATAAGGACCAGAGATGTTTTATTGGAAAGAAGCAGCAAACCACACAAGAGCACCCACCAACCACCAACAGGAATAATGAGAACAATTCCAGCTTCCTTCCGACATGGCAAGTAAAACTACATCATCACCTCTCCTCTCCTCAAACCGACATAGCACGCCCACCCAGGGCAGAGCCACTGACTGAAGGTTCTTTAGGCTATTCCAAAAGAGGACTTCTCTGTTGATATCTACCTCTCTGCGCTCATATGACCATATGTAGTTGCAAGCGCCATAAAACCTTACTAAAACTAAACAATTCTGCTGACATCCACCCCTATGACCTTATGCAGTTGCGAGCTCCGTAAAACCTTACAAAAACTAAAACAACAGGGTCAGTAAAACTACATCCTCACCTCTCCTCCCTCTGACATGGCAAGTAAAACTACATCCTCACCTCTCCTCTCTTCCCTCTGACATGGCAAGTAAAACTACATCCTCACCTCTCCTCCCTTCCCTCCAACATGGCAAGTAAAACTACATCCTCACCTCTCCTCTCTGTAAGCAGGTGGGGGGCCTCTAGGCCTGTCACCTCCGGGCGGAGGTCCGCGGTAACCATCGGGAGGTGGTCCGCGCTGGCCTTGGGGGTGAGGGGGGCCTCTGTAGCCATCGGGAGGTGGTCCGCGCTGGCCTTGGGGGGGAGGGGGGCCTCTGTAGCCATCCGGAGGGGGTCCGCGTCTGCCATCAGGGGGAGGTCCTCGGTAACCATCAGGGGGCGGGCCGCGTCGACCGTCTGGAGGAGGGCCTCTGCGAGCTCCATCTGGGGGAGGAGGGCCCCTGTACCCCTCAGGTGGTGGCCCCCTCCGGCCATCAGGGGGCGGTGGACCCCTCCTCCGTTGCTCGTCTGGTCTGAACTGGCGGTTAGCGTCCAGTGGGCTCTTGTCATAGCCTTGGTTGTCTTTGCCGTTCCTGTGTCCGCGTCTGTGATCGCGACTTGACTGAAATGTCCAAATAGTAAAAATTAAACTCAACCCAAATGTTTTACTATTTTATGCTCAATGACGGCAAAGAATTTCGATAGCAGGTTTATACATGATGAATGCAATTGTCATTGAGAGTAATGTCACCTTTCTGACAGTGTGTGATTTCAAAGACAGATCATAGGTCCCCACAGCTGTAGTGGGATATTATCAGGAAAACTGTTAGAAAAAGAAGTGAAAATTTGGACCCATATGGGATGTCTTATCATTTTTTTTTTAAAACGGCTGCTGAAAGAACAAAATGCATAAAACGAAAACAAGTGACTCATACAAACCCCGCCCACAAACTGAGCACTCCTTACCATGAAGGTATTATGATTTATCATACTGCCTCATAGAAACTGTCACAAAAATATTTTAAAAACATTACAGGAGTGAGTATGAACTGCTGTTGTATGAAAAAAAGTCGTCTTACCTGAGAATATGCTTCTGATCTTGGCTTGACTGTCTTATGTGGTGTAGTTCCAGATTTGAGCTCGTGTCTGGAGGACAAGAATTGTGATATTATCCAATGTGTCACCATATTAAACTATGCAGAATAAATATTTTTTTTTACTATTTTTTTTTACTCTTTTACTAATTCAAGATAAACTTTCCACCAATTATACTATTTTACCACTGATTTCAAGTATTTAAAAATGTGCGGCATTGTGTGAATAATGGTGCTCATCAAATTCATGAAATCGAAGAAACCAGCATTTTTCATTTTAGGTCCATTTAAAATTTAATATTACATCTCTGCTTGGATTTTACTCACAAATATAGAACAAAGGCACAAAAATTTTAATTTGCAGTTTGCAAGAACTCTCAAGATTTGAAAGTCACCAAACTTTGACGGTTATTTTCTCGCAAATTTTTCTTCTGACATCAGATGACCCCCACTTCCTTCAATTGCAAATATCTCAACTTCATTTCAAGATAGATAAGTATTTTTTATTTTATTTTATCAAAAGCAAGGCAAATGAACGAACTTTAGAATGACACTAATATATATATATATAACTCCAAATATGCCCCAAAATTAACGAGCACCTGATTACAACACAAATGGTAGCGGCTGTTTTATTGCTGTTTTACAAAATAATTTAATTGGGTGCAGACAAAAACGATTTAGCTCATATTTAAATACCCATACGTTAATTTCCAAAAGCACGAATTTAGGAACTTCGTACATTCTTAACATTTTTAAAGATATTGAATATTGGCTAAAGAGTAAAAAATCCAAGAAACTCCATACCCATACAGAGCAAAAAGAATTTTTATAAAAATAATCTTCAACAACTTACTTGAGCTCCTCCTCCCTAGCCAGCTCGCTCTTGTGCACACAGTTGATGCCCCAGTCTCCTACTGGCTTGAACTGAAACAAAATAAGAGACAATGTATCATTTAAGTAATTTAAGACATCAAAAGCCACCAATGAACCATTTATTACTTTTACTAAGTTACTACATTACATTGGTCATGTATTACTATTAATTTTATAATGCTGAAAAAACATTCTTCTTACGATCTTAAGTTTAATCCGCCATTATTTTTTACTAGACATTATAACAACACAAGTTTTGTCACCATCAAATTTTCGGGGTTATATAACACATATATACACGTGTTATCCAGAGTAAACTCATCTACCGTATCAGTCCCAAGAAAACTAGGCACAAATTTCAAATGGACAATTACGTAAACACCTTAACTTCTATTCGTAATACTTTAGATAAAGGGAGCCACTATTTTCACAATATGTCGTGGAAATAAAGATTAAAAACTAGTATCTATGCATTTTTTCACAGATATAAACAGAGTCTCAGACCATGCTTCTCTCTCTCTCTTTCTGTCTGCCCCTCTCTCTTTCTCGATCACGGTGTACATCCAATATAGGGAAACTATGCCACACAACGTTCTAATCATAAAATTTTGTTGGAAAATAACAGAAGCCTTAGATCAAATACTATCCCAAAAAAATACTATCATGAATATCAACTAACCAAAAAAAAACAACACTACATAATAAAACTACAGCTTAGTGTAAGATTTCATGATATATATGCCATTTTGAAAAATAATTACGTATAATATAGGAAAGTCAATGGAAAGTCTTATTTATTGAGCAGTCGAAATTATTTGATTAGCTTTTCGCAGTTTAACGAACAACTTACATAGAGCTCAGCTCGATACTTGTTGCTTCTTCGCTTGGCAATGATGAAAAGATATGAAGCCCCGGCCATGCAGAGCAAAAATAATATGATGAAGAAAGGGCCGAGGAACTGTGAGTCCCAGTCCCATAGGTAGACATGTCTCATACGCAGTGCCACTAGCAGGACGCCCACTAACAGGCAACAGAGGGCAAAAACGATCAAGGCAATGGCTGCTCTGAACGGCAATTTCCCTGGTCCCAGCCACACCTGTAAAAATTAGAAATTTAAAGAAAGTAGAAAGGTTAATAGAAAGGTTAAAAGTATTATGTACCACACTGAAGGCTTGTTTCTGAGTCTTAAAAACAGAAACAATGTCCTAGGTATCACTGGAATATGTTGAACTATTGTTGAGAGAAAACAGAAAAACGCTTTCAGATTATGCAGATTGAGAGATCTTAAAATCTGCAGTGCACTTGAACTTCCACTCTGTCCAATACCGTACAAACCAACTTGATTTCATTTTAGTTTACAACCAATCGACTAAGAAAATGACAAAAACACTCTATATCTAAAGAAATGAGTACGCCTAAAAAAATAAAACATCAGACGGTACAAAGTTGCAAAGGGATAACCAGCTTTGGCCCCAAAGCCCAAAGATTACTTCTTCTATTCTTCTTGTTTTATAAAGAATGAATACATCATCCCTATCCTTAACCCATTATTTATTAAATTTTTAATTTATTTAGTCAAAGTGGCTATAATACGGACTCCAGTCTGAATAGCCTCCCATGGTTATTCGGACTCAAAATTCAAAAGAGGCATGCTGGAATTGACGTTTTTCATCGATTTCGGTATGACTTACTTATTGGTTGATGATTATCCAAACTGATTCTTCTGCTTAATATTGTTTTTAAATTTAATTTGCATTTTATTTGTCCCCCAAAAATTACAATTTTTATGATTTTACTAAAACTTTGAGCCGATACTGCTGCTTCAGACTGTAGAAGGATTGTTACTTGTCTAACACATGCGCGTATTGCTCTACCCTGATTTAATTTGAACACCATGTAAAGTATGCTGTTGGAAAGGCTTAAAAATCCTTTAGACCACTATTACTTTGAATGACTGACCTTAGTTATATAAATTCCCTTTGGAAGGGTGTTAACTTTTCTCTTCTTAATTTTTAATAGAACTTCCAACTGGTCAATGATTTTGTTTTTCTCGTCAAATAAACTGGGTTTAGACTACCTATAGATAGTTATAATCCTTTGTTGTTCTGAAACTTTGATTTTCAATTTCGGAGTGTCTACGTACACGGTAACCGGGCACCTCCCCTCAGTGTCTTCGTACACGGTAATCGGCAACCGGGCACGTAGTCTCAGTGTCATGTACATGGTAACCGAGCATGTAGCCTTAATATCTACATACACTGTAACAGGCAACCGGGCACATAGTATCAGTGTCATGTGTACACGGTAACCGGGCTGTTCAGAACTCCAAGTTCAGTTTTTGTCATCCGGTGTTGCCTTCATCCCCACCCCTCCCCTGACTGTACCTTTAAAAAAAAATCAATAAACAATCCCCCCATTCCGGAGCCCTATACTTCACAGCGCAGAGATTTAAATGAACTTTGGTGACCCCAACCGGTACTCACAATGTGATACGCACGCACAGGTTCACTGACCGGTTACGATGGCGAGCCCGACAAGACGCTTGTATATGACTTTCTTTTTTCTTTTTCAGCAAGTGACAGCAGAGGACAATTTAATATTGATTTATATTCATTCCGAATACCGTGTACATAGATACTGAGACTAGGTGCCCGGTTACCGTGTACGTTGACACTCCATTTCAATTTTTTCACTGCTTTCAGCTCAGATTGCCGTTTCCCTGTTTGCCTTTGTTGTTAAGCATTTCAGATTTTGCAACTGTTGTTCACTTTTGACGCCAAAAAGTTATATAGATCTAGATCTAGATTCTAGATCTACTTTTCTTAATTTGTGTCGAAAGTTTTGGTCAGAAAATAAAAACCGAGGAAGGCCAAGGTCGAATTGCCCGTCGCTTCACATCCAGTAGCCTTCATCTACACCCAGTGACTACGCACACGCATTGGAGTTTGAATTCGAATAGCCACAGGGGGCTATTCAGACTCTAGTTCGAACAGATGCTGCCTTTATTTAGTATGCCCTAATATGACATACACCTGGGGCAAAAACCGGAGGTTACCTCTATTAGATTAATCATAACCCTAAACTGTAAAAAACTATTTTAAAAACTCAAGACATAATTGGGAATGTAAGGGTAACGATGAGAGCTGGACTGAGGTGTGAAGGGGGAACCAGGAAGGGGGGAAGGAGGGAAGAGACGATGTGAGACTGAGAGACAGAGCGAATTGGAGTTAAGGAAGTCCCTACTTTCTCGCCTTGTAGTCGTGTACACTGAGGCCTAAGCCACACAAAGTGAGGTTTTCATGACAGATGTAGCTGAAGAGATTAAGCTGTTTTAAATGGCGTATATATAGGAAAGGACCTAGAGATCTAATCTAGGAAAGATTGACTTACCGAATTCAAATCATTTCTTATACCCCGCTGCACGTAATAATGGTAGGCATCGATGGTCGCCTTATCCAAATCTCTCTCTTTCAACATCTTGAAGATGGTGACAGGCTCTGGCTATAGCCAAAGCAACTTCTAATAGATACAAAAAAAATATCCAGCGAGCCTCACCGCCGCTGTTAGCTCATTGCGGCACTTTCCACAACTTTAGAAACTTGTAAACAAAGTTAGGCCAGGAGGTCGGCCATTTCCTGGTTCCTGTCGATTTCTAATTTCTTTTCTACCTGTCTCTTTGCGCATGCGTCAACAGGTGGACGTTTCCGCTTTTTTCTGTTGAAAAATAGGTCATGTCAGGTGAAAAAGAAGTGATCGCATGGTGTTTGGTTTCGATTTTGTCGCCCCAATTATAGTTCAAACTTTGGACCAAAGCAATTTTCTTTACGTACAAAATCAGTTTATACCATTATTATTATTGTATTTATTTATTTATTTATTTATTTTTTGTTCAACCTGTCCAGATAAGCTGGGAATATAAATATTAGTATTATTATTATTATTATTATTATTATTATTATTATTATTATTATTATTATTATTATTATTATTATTATTATTATTATTATTTTTATTATTTATTTTTTTTCAACCTGTCCAGATAAGCTGGGAATATAAAATTCCTTCACTCATATGTCATATTATAACAATAAATGTGTCACAACACAGTGGAATCAGGCGCTCGTCAATATTTAGGGCATACTTATTATTATTGAGTTACTGATGTAATCGTCAAACTTGTTTATTTTGTCTTGCTCAAAGTATTTTTGTTTTTTTTTAGATTTGTGTAAGGTTTTACGGCACTCGCAATAGCATAAGATTATAATATGAGCGTGCAGGACATATTAAGTTAAGCATAATCCGTTTGGTGGGAATTGATTTTGAATTTTGCCCGGGAGAACCTATTGCATGAGAGTCGAACAGCGTATCTCTAGACCACGGTAGCTCCGTATCTTGCTTGTGATAAAAGAGAATCAGAAGTCGATAAATTAGAAACTACCCTGATTAGTGAATGGCACCCTAAAACTTCCCACACAAAAAAGTCAGTATGCAAAGCTAATCATAGCCTTTCTCACCCTGGATCAGGATATAGGCCACGAACAAACACTTCCCACATTTCCCAATCCTGTGTTAGCCGCTTGATGTTATTCCATGTGTTCCCACTCTTGTGTAGGACCTACGTCAATTTCTGTGACTCTTCTCCAGGTTCGACGTGGTCTTCTTCTTGATCTTTTCCCTGTGGGTTCCAATCCAACACAAGGAGATTAAAAGATTAGTTCTAAGCTCCTTGATCCAACACTACTTCTTATGCAGCTGCTCGACTGCTTGAGAGTAGGCCTACATGTATGTCAAATCTATCTCCACCGCCCTCTTCCTACCTCATCTCTGACTGGGCTCTGTCTTGTTCTTCTTACTACTTCGAATCCTCTGTAGTGGCTCTGTCTGTCCATCTGATCCCCAGTAACTTCCTAAGACACTAAGAAGAAAACTTAAATCCTCTTTATGCAGGTCTGAGATGCGTTATATGTCTCATATCCATACAAGACTGACTTCACATTTGAGTTGAAGATCTTCAGCTTTGTTCGAAGTGTGATGCCCCCCCATGTTGAACAGGAATCACATGCCATTGTGTACATTCTTGGAGACACATTTTGGAGTTTGATCTTCTATTTAAAGTAGCCAGATTTTCTTATATTGGGAGAGGGAGGCTGTGTGTGTATGTGTGCGTGTGTGTGTGTGCGTGTGTGTGTGTGTGTGTAAAAGCAACCAATGTGGTAAAAATTAGAAGAAGTCATCCCAAATCAAAATATGTTTGTTTTTCTAGTTCACAATCGGGTACGTTTGATGAAAATTGGGGCCAAAAGCCAAGCAAGAGGCTAGTACATACCATATGACATTGTGGGGTCAAATTATGTTTCTCTTGTGTTGAACGCAATAGGCCAAAATGAAAGTCAGGGTTAAATTTGATGAGGAAGAGAATTGCAGTGGAATCCTGTTATAACGAGAGGGAGGGGACCGGAGCTAAATGTGCCTTATAGCAGGATTCTCGCCATAAGGGATCTGGTAATAAATTCAAAGGAAACTGTAAAGTAGGCCTAATCTATGAGTTTGTTGTTCAGTATATTTCCTTTTGCTATCTCCCCTGATGAAGATTTTGCTTCAACATGACCTCTAGGTCTTACTAGATCAAAAATCGAATCAGGTTTCTTTCTCTAGCGCTAGATCTTACGATGTTGACTGACAGCTCGGCGTTGGCGGTCAGAAAGAAAGGGCTCTGGGCTAACTCACCCGCTGTGTTTTCCCCCACCCCACCACATCTGTGGTGCATCCCGTCAGCTTGCGCACGTCACACATTCGCTCCATCCATCACATTGCTGTGATCTCTACATCCCCGCATCGGAGAAGTGAGAGGCATGGTAGGCCTTGATAATCTAAACTAGGCTTACACTGGCCTATCACGCGATGCGTTCTGCTTGTCACATCCTCCCTACTCAGTCGCTCCGGCCTTCATTGTTGACACACATGGGCTCTCCCATTCTTCGTTCCGCTAGATTGCCAACTAGTTTCTCAACTGGCGAGGTTTTACATTATGTATAACTGGCCCATGCACTGTGCTCAACAGCAGCAATATTCCGCTATAACCGACTCGCGTGTTTCTTTGAAGGCGCTATAGCAGTATTTTGTTTACAAAGGTAAAGAAGAGGAAAAAAACGGGGTTTTAGAATAGTGTCTTTATAACAGACTTCTCGTTTTTTCCGGACTCGTTATAAGTGGACTCCACTATAATAATATTACTATTATATTATTGTAGCCCATTTGGATACAATGATGTGTGCATTAGCCAACGTCTTTTTCTGAGCAGTGTGCGTGTATGTGACTGTGTGTGTGTGTGTGTGTGTGTGTGTGTGTGTGTGAGAGAGAGCGACAACGTGAGCAAGCGAGAGAGAGAGGGAAAGAGAGAGAGAGAGAGAGAGAGAGAGAGAGAGAGAGAGAGAGAGAGAGAGAGATTGTGACAGTAGGCTCCTTTCCAGTTACATCACCTCAACTCATGCCTAATTTTCATGTCATAAACGTGGAAACCAGTCGTGTATTCTTATCATGTCAAGCAGTGCTCCTTCAGTCCGTCACTTTGTCAAGGAAAGTTCCATAAATAATACATTTATGTGTAACACCCTTAGAATGAAGAGAATGACATGGGAACTACAGTTTGTTGAAAAGCCACACCAAGGCTATACAATTAAATACAACGAATGGTCCGGTCCTGAAAGGAACAAGTACAAATTCCAATAAGGATCCAAGATCATAATTTGATATTTGATTGTTGAAAAGGACCAGATATACATTACATGTATCTGCCATTTTATACAAAATAAGACAGACAAATGAAGCAGATTTCAGAGTTTTAATTTGGAAACCTTTTATCAATACCTGTATATAAGCACCTAAACAGTTTTACAAATGCACAAAAGATATTTTCAAAAACATAATTTCAAAGAAAAAAAAATTCTCTGAATGGGCATACTATAAAAACATGTTAAAAATTCCTTCATTGATTCAGCTCATTTTCTCACAAACTCTGTGTGTTTGTCTGTCTGTCTGTCTATCTCTGTCTCTCTCTTACTCTCTCGTTCTCTGATGAGAGTTTCTCTCTCGGAATACTGTTATCCACTCCTATTCGCCCAGTCAACTTTTAAATACAATACAAAATGACAAACACAAGCAGTAAATGTAAATAATATATTGATAATAAAAAGAAACCTCTCCAAATTTATTAGTGTGCTCTGAAGATACCTTAATACTTTTATTTACAAACATAGCTAATGATTTTACTTGTATCAGTGCCTTGAGTATAATGGTTCACCGGTGCAAGCACAAAAGGTGACTTTGATTCCCACGGAAAAAGTCTTATTTTATCAAGAGTATCTTTTTTTTATAGTAGAGGTTTTGCGGCGCTCACAACTGCATAAGGTCATACAAGCGCCAAGGGGTGGGTGTCAACAGAGAAGTATTTGCAGGGAATCACACTTAGACTGCTCAACTCTCTAGCTTCAACAGCACAAGGTCTGCTTCGACTATCGAGGCACCCCAAAATAGTAGGTCACAAGGGAGTGACAAACATACAAAAGAAGTAGAGGAAAATGACAATAGTAAGGATCAGGAAAGAAAAAGCAGCAGTTCCCTGTAGTAGATCAGGCACAGTTATGAGCGTGACATGAGTCAGCCCATTTACAATTCTACTATGCTTGAACGAGATATGTCCCCCCTTTGAGAATGGCCTACAGACACTTCAGTCAGTGGCACTGTCCCGGGGGGTAGAGTATCTTTGTCCTCGTGCAAGGACACAGTATGACACTGGCCTCACATTGGCCCCCAACAGCTAGAATCGAAGCATCATAAATGTGAGGCATCGTGGTGATAACAGGCGCTAGTCAAAATAATGAAATCAAAGAAATCGGCAATTTTTTTGCCGACCGACAATTGTTTTTCTTATTTTCTTTTTTGGCTCAACACCTTTTTTGTCCATTTAAAAACATGTTTGTGGGTGGATTTCACTGAAAAACATTGATTACAGGCACAAAGAATGTAAATGTTCAGTTTTTCAGGACTTTCAAGCTATGGAAGTTACCAAACTATAGTGGCCATTTTCTCGCTAATTTTACCCCTGAAATCAGCTACCACAGATATCGCTATCTTTACAGACAGCCTTTTAACACTAGAGACACTTGAGAGTGGGACTGATGTGAACAAAGATATATTGCACTTGACCTGGAGTTTACATAATTTGATAAGAAGGCACTACGTCACAGTAGTCCTACAATGGATTCCTGCCCACACTGGGATACCGCGAAATGAAAGAGCTGATGCTCTGGCAAAGAAAGGAGCTAGCCTCCCTCAGCCTGAAATTCCTACGAATTACACCACCTGCTGCCAAATGATCAAGTCAAACCTCAAGGAAGAGTGGATGAATGATTGGGCCACAGGTACGACAGGAGGGAGGATGTATGGCCACATGAATAAACCACTGGTCAAAGATCCAACCAACGAGTTGAGGAGGGGAGATCAATCCATAATCTTTCAACTTAGAACACAACATGTACCCCTCAACCAATATCTCAACCGAATTGGAGTAAAGCAGTCTGCTGCCTGCCCCCTATGTGACTACCCCTAAGAGACAGTGGAAAATCATCTGCTCTTCTGTAGAAAACTAACTGATTTAAGGGGATGTTTTCTTCCCAAGCTACCCCACACATCTAATTGACTCTACTCCTCAAGACAACAATTAGAACAGACATGCAGCTATTACCGAATGGCATCATGCAGAAGAGTTAACACTCAGATGCTACTGGATCGCTAACAACAGCAACAACCCCTGAAGAAATCAGCAACCATGACCTTTTCCAATCGCAAATATTTGGACTTCTTTTCAACATAGAAGGATATTTTTTTCACCATAAGGAAAGCAAACGAACGGGCTTTGAGATGATACCAATAACCCCACACGCCAAAAAACTGACGAACGTCTGATTCCACCACGTTGTGACGCAAATGATTTTAACTATGTCGATGAAATAGAAAAAGAATCGCAATCACTTCATCTGTACAAACAGTTTAACCTCTTCACTGTCCCACATAGAAAATATGATCACAATTCCTCAAATAGTCAGCTGGAATGTTGTATACAAATGATTGTCATTTTATTGTAGATACAATTATACGGTCAATACAAATCAAAGACCTCAAGCTGATCTAGAAAAACTATTAAATCTATCATCTGTTGGTCAAAGGAAGCTTATGTGTTTAAATGTGGACTGAGATACATAACGTATTCAAAGACACACAACTCATGAACATTCCTAAAGGAAAAATTCCCAGAAACAAGTCATATGATCATGTTTTTCTCTCTGCTTGCAGTGAAAGTGAAGTGCATTATTTTCTACAATTTGGAAGCCTTTTCTGAAAACATCAGTACACCCAGCAAGAAGGGGATGTACTTACCTTTGAACAAAAGGCAGGGGAGCTACATATGTTTTTGTCATTATATCTGACACTATCCCTTTTCACTGACATGTCTCTAACATATATAGAACCAGTGAGCAAAAACATAGATAAATAAATCATAACGACTAAAAATTACTTCATGCGTATCCATGAAAATTCTACTTGATCACAGCATGCAATGTCACCTTTGTAAATGAATGTTGATCTCTTCCAACTTTTCGCAATATTATTTCAAATAAAGTGATAAATAGCATGACACTCTTCTTTTCACAATAGCTGTAAAGGCTAGAGTTTCCAATATCCATATTGAATACAAAAACTGTGAATCGATTTTTAAAAGCATTAATCAAATCAGAGACCTCATTTACTTTTTCTAGAACAGTATAAGTATAGTCGAATCTGCCCTGACAGCCACCTCTATAAGACGGCCACCTGTACAAACGGACAATTTCCATTCCCCCCCCTTGCGCTTTTTCTATTTAATTTAACTGTGTAAAACTGGCACCTGTCCAACGCGATCACCATATTGTAACACACAACCCCTATCACACTAAGCAATAACACCCGTCTCAGACGGCCTCCTTAGTGACTCCATTACGTTTTGCCATTTATCATGTATTTGCGCCTGGTGTTGTGGGCGAGCCGTCATAATCCAATCACCTGTCGTTGTTGTTAGGTAGTCCCTCCAACCGATCATGTCGCGTAGGCCCCCCCCCCTCACTGTTGACCAATAGGTAGGCCCACCAATTTTCAGTTGCTGGTGGGTGAGGTAAGCCTGTGATCCCTCATAACCCAAAAGCCCCACCCAGAACTCATACACAAATCGTAAGTGAGATGAGTGGTCACTGTTTACCCAGTCTGTAACAAAGCAACATGAACTTGTGACAGAAGCGTCGTTCGTTATATTGTCACCCTTGGGCAAAATCAGCAACAAAATTTTTTTTAAAATACAAACCAACAACAACAACAACAGCAACAATGAGGCTACTTTCGATTGGGAACTCAGAAGTAAATGGTTTGTTTTCTTCATCTTGATCAGTCCTGCCTCAGATGGCCACCTGTCTCATACAGCCACTTTTCTCCTTGACATTGGGCGGCCGTCTTACACAGATTTGACTGTATAAGGGAGCAGAGGGTGTCCTTGGCAAATCCTTTTGATCTACAATAAACCACATTGAGGTTGTTTTTCGCAGTCTCCTTCAGTGTAATGAGAATTCTCTCTCTCTCTCTCTCTCTCTCTCTTTCACACACACACACGCACGCACACACACACATCCTTTACACTCTGTTGAGCTCTCAAGGTGTCAAGTGCACTCTCCTCTACACTGGTCATGATCACGCTGAAGTGGGCTCTAACCAAACATAGAGTCGTGCAGGGAGTTTAGTTCAAACTCTCTCTGTTTCGCCCGTGCCTGAGGAAAATAACATACACAAAAATTAGTAAGTGGCAAAATGACCATATTTACACAGTCAGCATAGAGTATTGATAGAAAGGTCTGTATTAGTGTTCACCAAACACTGAGGTGTTAAAAGTCATGTGCTGCCCCAAGTTCTGGAGTTCAGATTTTCAAAAGTTTGTGCCCTGGGAAAAAATAAAAGCTTCACATTTGAAATGATTCAGACTAATGTGCCCGTAAATACTGAAATATAAGTCTTTGGAAATCCACCCGCTTGAGCTAAAAAAAAAAAAAGAAACAGTCTTCAAACAGCTACATCTACAGAGATGGAAGGAAATTAAAGAACTCAATACTCATTTATACTTTGTAATTATTCTCCATCCCAGGAGTCAGACAGAGATACTCTCTAAAAAACACTTTCCCCAGAGGGAATCAAACTCATGTCTTCTTAGTAAGAGTTTTACAGCACTAGCAACAAAATAAGGTCATATAAGTGCCGAAGAATAGATGTGTTACAAAAGAGTAACATACACAAAAAAGAAGAAGGAGAGAAAAGAATGATAGTCGTTTGACAGGAAAGAAGGAGCAAACCACACCAGAGCACCCGCCAACCACCCACAAACTCATGTCTCCTGCGGGTAAAGGCACAGGACTTAGCCACTACATGACAAATAAAGTTTCTTCTTTTCATTAAAGTACTAGGATGTGTAATTTACAATAAAATTGGTATAAGACAATGAGACCCTTGCACAGTTAGTGCAACTCATTTGTGATAAAAGTATTCTATAAACAACTCTTCGTATCATAAGACTCTGCATTACACAGCACAGACGTAAGTCTCAAGTATATACAGTATAGCACGGATAGGTTGAACACTGTGACTGTGCCTGCGGTCCCGGCTTTTCTTCTTCTTTATCTTTGTAAGTAAAGCTCGAACACAAACACGGAATATGGGGGCTCTCCTGGCCTAGAGGTTAAGGTGTTGGCCTCTCATTCAAAGGTCCCGGGTTCAAATCCGGGTAGCGACCGAAAAATTTTCTTCTCTAAAAATGTCCCCTTTCTCCTCCTTTCCTGCTCTCTAGCAATATTTTGTCTTCTGCTTTCGTCTCCTCTTTCTGCCCCCACCCCCTCACCTCCTTTGCCCCCTCCTCTGGGCTCCAGACTCTTTCTGCAGCCTTTCTACTGCTACTCCTTGACTCCTTCTTACAGCTGCCTTTCTGCCACACCCCTGATCTTCTGGTAGGAAAGATCTACACCTAGCCTTCTCGGACAAGGGCGAAAAATCTCGGAGGGCCCGTGTGCAAGTTGCGCACGTTTAAGATCCCCTGGTGGTCTAAAATCGATAAGAGTAGGCTTCGGCCGCCACCTGCGCAAAATTCAAAATGTCCTACCAACTAAAAGTATTAGGTGTGTCCCGCGCGCTCATATGACCTTATGCAGTTGCGAGTGCTGTAAAACCCTCTACTATAAAAAAACCCCAAAAAAACCCACAGAATAGTCAAACTAATTACGTCGCCGTAGAGTTCTAAAGTCAATGCCCTTTGAGGTGCACTTGAGACAAAAATGATAATTTTCTAAAATTAACAGAAAAAGGCAACGTTGGTAAAACACCACCTTTCCCCCACTACAGAAGCAGTTGGTTGAGTTATTTTTAGCGCGCTGCTCAACACGCGTTATTATGCCCTAGGCCTAGCTAGGCTTGTGTGGAGCGGGTGAGGGGAAGGGTTGTGCATCACATGATCTGCCGCTCCACGTCTCTTCGCAAAGGACTGCGCGCTTGGTGGGAGAGGCGGGGCAGAGCTGCATTGTTTTGTTGATTACTGTCGCGATATGTCCTATCAAATTGTTTATGTTTTGAAAAATTTGATAAGGCACTGTTCGATTGGTGTGGACTAAAGACTGCTCACACTGACCCTTGCAATAAAACTGTCTTTGTACTGGTAGGCTCAATACTGATCGAGCACGAAAACATAGCTCATTTTTGTTTTGCCCCTAAAGTAGCAATCTTTGTAGCTTCCCTTGATTTTCTGACACAGCCGATGCCATAACACAGTTCACAGATCCCTCAAACTACCGAGGCCGGTCCCGACGAGTTCGAGCTGTCCATGTTACACTGTATACAGGTTGAAAGCACAAGTCTGTATTGTGAAAAAACATAGCAGTTGTGATACTGATATTATGGCAGCCATCCCTAACAAATAAATAGATTTTCGTCTACTTTCGCTGCATTTTTTTCCCAAAGCAACTAAGAGATTCAAAGTTCACAGGCAATAACTCATACATACTGTGGGCTCATAGAAAACGGCTTTGTTATACACCTCAGTGGGGTCATGAACAACTGCCAATGTTGGTATGTTCTAGGGGTGGGGAGTCAGAACTTGTTGACAGCAAGAGCTCATACTGCTGGCCAGGATTTAAAGATTTAACTCTTTTTATCCTAGCCGTACCCCCACGGACTCTGTACCAGTCCTGGGGCCGCCGCGCCGTATGAGTCGGAAGTCAGTGCGTAAAGTTCAAAGTGCTATATTTCTTACATTTACTCTAAGGTTTTAAGGAAATTTGGCAGTTATGTTAGGAATTGAATGTAGTTTTTGTAAATGTATGTGGTTAGGAATTACACCAATTGCACAATGTAGATTTTGAGGTGTATTCCACCCTCGAACTTGAACCTGATTGCCGCGCCCATGACGTCCTATTGGATTTTATAGATCTAGATCTAGCCCTACAAATCAAGCACAAATTCCAGTACTGACCCCTTCACCATGATCTGAATTGCTATTAGATGAGTCTAAGTCCTGTTTCTTATCATCCACAACGGAATTTACGGCACTTATTTCAGAGTCACTTTCATCAAATTAGTATCATTCCCCCTCACAACCCAGCGCCACTTCAAAAAGTACTTCGTTGGTCGTGAATGTGCGTTTTCGAGACATGTTTCAAGCTTCTACACTCATCAAAAACAAAGAAACCACTGTTCATTGGAAAATTAAAATATTCAGACAGAGCTAGCATCGCCGTATTTGCGTATTTTGGTAATTACAAGCAGAACTAGCTTCTTTGACGTGACCGTATCGCTGTTCCGAGTATACTCGTAGCCCGGATAAAAAGAGTTAATGAATGGAGAACTATACCCAATCACAGGATAAATCATATGAGGCATCATGGTGAAATCAGGCGCTCGTAAAAATCAATTAATTAGAAAAAAACAGCATTTTTCCGCAGGTATGGCATTTTTTTGGTGAATTTTTGTTTTCTGGCTCAACATCTTTTATGTCCATTTAAAAACACATTTCTGTGTGGATTTTACTGAAGAAAATTACTAAACTTTGGCAGCCATTTTCTCGCTAATTTTACCTCTGAAACCAGGTGACTCCCACCTCCTTCAATCATGTATATCTCGACTTTTATTCAAATAGATGGATATTTTTTTTCGCTGAAAGCAAGACAAAGTGACAAGCATTCAGGTGATATCGTTAACTCAACATTTCCAAAACTTAGCAAGCGCCTGCTTCCACTGCATCATGATTTATATTCAATTTTTACACTTTCTACATATAAGTAGCATGTCTAATTAAGAACCCCCCCCCCCCCCCCCCCATTTCTGAGAACAAGATAAAACAAATAATATACCTGATGCTTCTTGAATTCTTCATATTGTGGATCATCAGTAGGCAGCTCATATCGACACATAGGGCAGGAATTAACCTAAAAAGACAAGGTTAGTAAAGATAATAAAGTTGAACACAAAAATAATGTGATAGAATAGATTAATAACAATTATTGTTCTCCGAACCAAGATGAGAAGAGCATGACATTAAAGAACAGGGAATGGATTTAAGTGAATCTGTCAGCGGTTGGAATAAGAAAATTTGCTAAATTGAACTCCTTTGACATCATCAAAGCGCAGATCAAATTTTATATAAAAGAATACATTCAAGTTCATTTCTCGAAACTGAAATCCTAGCTAAACCCGGAAAAAATTTGGCGGTCTGAATGTGTGTGAATTAAGATTTCGAAAGACTCTAAAAAGGCTCAGACTCGCAACCATAAGGTTGTGGGTTCGAATCCAATCAGGGGCCTGATGTTGTGTCCTTGATAAAGGCACTTTGCACAAATTTTCCTCATTTCACCCAGGGGGAAATGGGTACCCAGCTACAGACACTGAAATATCTTGTCAGTTTAATAGTGTTCGAGGATGTGAAATTTGCAGCATGCCCTGTATGCTTCCCGAGAAGCCAAGAATGTTTCTAAGTGCTCTCAGGGAGGGTCTGCTGGGGTAATAATAGCTGTAAAGCGCATAGAGCATGCTGTAGAGCATGGATATGTGCTATATAAATGCAATTATTATTATTTTTATTAAGATTTCAAAAGACTATGGTTTCTATAAAAATCAGTGTATGTCCTCAAATTGTGGAATCTACAAATACGAAAGACAAAGCTAAAGAAAAGAACTCACAGAATACAGAACTCACTTTGCTCAACCATGGTAAAATACACCCGCTATGAAACTGATGTCCACAGGGCATGATTTTCACTTCATCTTCCTCGTCAAATTCCAACAAGCAGATAGGGCATTTCTTGCCAAGAGCTGTTGAGAAATTTTATAGATAGAAAATGGAGGGCAGAAATAATATGCATTGTTGTTACTCATTCAAGAGTCCCTAACCACCAGTCAATTAACACTACATATATATATAGCTTTCAGCAGAATATATCATGACATATAACATTAACAGAGGTCCTGATTTACAAGCTCTTGCTAATTATAAGTTCCTGGATACTGATGTTTCAACTGCAACAGCCACTCCAAGTATAAAAGATATTGGAATTTAAGGTTGTTGTTTTTTCTACCACAAAACTGGATCTAACACCCAACATATTTTTAAAAAGTACAATTTTATGACAAAACAACAAGGTTTTTTTTTCTTCATGGAATAATCTACCAAATTCAGTTATTAACATAAAAAAACCATAATGATTATAACATCTTGCATATGTGCATATCAAGACATAAAAAATATAATATATAAAAAAACAAAAACAAAACAAAAAAAACCCAATACAGACAACAATAGTTGCTCTTGAAGCTAACTATTCTAGTCAGGGGTTCCAAGATATGTTGTGTAAAAGGCAAAGTCGGTCCCAGGATTTCACAAGACTGAACTATTTTGGAACAACTGCTCTCAACATTGTTTATTACATTTTCAAAAGGTTAGTACCTGTTCATGTCATTAGGATGAAAGGAAAGAACAAAGACGTAAGGAAAGAAAACTGAAATGATACGTCAATAAACTAAGACACATGACAAATACTATTCCTGAACACATGTGACCTCATCAGTGGGAGGGCAATGCCTACTACATGCTGCATTACTAGTACAAGTAAACTTGACAAAAGTATGAGGACATCTAGGCAGGATTTAAACAGCCAAATACATACTACCAGGTCAACTGCAAAGAGGTTCATTTGCAAAGAATGCTTATGCACCGATGTACATTATCTCAAATTCAGAGAAAGACACAAAAGTAAGTTCAAGTCACAGCTTGTCAGAGCTAAACTGAAAACTAAGGCATCTCTTTCCTGATGCAAATTTGCAGGAACATTCTAACACAATAATGTTTAATAATTGGCAGTATGTCACGAGGAATAAACTAAATACAATATACCAAGAGTGTAACCGGACCTGCAATAGTTGGAGAAACAAGTTTGGTCTCTAGTTCTGCCACAGCTTTCTTTGAGGCTGGTGGAGCTCTTCCTTCCCCTCCAAAAAATCTGTTGTATTCCATGTCCCATTCTGCCGCCAGCCCAGAGTCCAGCAAGAGCCTGAGAAATAATTTTGGACCATAAAAATAATTATCCATCATGATATTAATAATCATCATACCCGTTAGAAACAAGAAGTGAATGGATGGTATGAGCAAGCCCTTTCCTTCCTTCTTCTACTATTTCTTGTACTAGAATGGGTTCCAAGACTGCAAATTATGGAGACAAAATTCCATTACCCAGTGAAAGTGGGTTATAATCAGGCATATTATTATAATACCCAATTCAAAATAATACTTCTCACAGTTGTAATTAAATTCTGCACCAGAGTATTTGATGAATAGTACAACGCATTCAGGACAAACACAGTTGAATCCTTCCTCCAAATTGATTTAAATATTGCTGGTGGTTTAAACACAAAACAGGTACTGAATATAGAGGCTGATCTTGCCTTGGAAACAATGTCAGTGATTGAAAAAGAATCTTCATATATTGCTGTTAGAACCTATCTGACTTATTTTCACTGGACAGTTCTCTCGACACTTTTTAACTACACCAACTTAATCTCATCTCCAGCAAAAGTTAAGTGTTAAGATTTAACTCTTTATTTCCGGAAAGCCACTCCCAGCGGTCGGAACCCCTGTGCTAGTGAGCCGCTGACAGCAGCTCGGGCACATTCCTTTATGATGACTTCAACATAAAATTACTCTTCAACAGTTGCTGAAAACAGGTCTCTATTGGGAATTCATTCATTACTTAGATGAGGAACTATCAAAATAGTTTCACTTGTTCTGATTTAAAGACCAATTTAACTGTAATGATTTAGTCATTTTTAGATTTAGTGCCAAAAATGGGCCCCAGCATAGTGGATTTACCCCCCTCAGAGATAAAGAGTTAATGAACGATTAAGTGTCAATCAGCAGCCACAGTACAGTCAGGTCTCCACCTAACAGCAACCCCCTTGGGAAACAAACCTTTGCTGCTGTTAGGCAGAGGTTCTTAATTGTTGCTTTCTGAATCTTTAAAGGAAAGTGATCTTCCCACCCCCACCCACTTACTCCCACCCCACGCAACCTCTCACATATCACACACATGACATGCACAAGTACTGCCCACAGGATGTGGTGAGGTTACTTCAGAAATAGAAAGTCGAAGACTCTTGAAGGAAGGTGGCTCTAGGCCAAAGGGTGAGAACTGAGCTTCTGTTCTGCAATCAGTGCAGTGTATTTTTGGCCAAAGAAGAGAGACTTCTGTAATGAGCGACCACTATGATCTAGATTATAATCCTTCCAACAATAATCCTAATCCTAACCCATGTCCTAGCTGCTCTAAAACTTAGTCCTAACCCTAAACCTACCAATAACTCTAGCCCGAACCCAAACAAAAAGGGGAACAAGCCCCCCCCTGATATGAAAATAATCATGAAGTTTAAAAAAGATTTTGATGGACACTGATTTTAGATTTTATAGTGGTTGCTTTAAGAATTCCTCCCCAAAGAAGACGTTTGTTAGGAGATAAACAAGAAGAATGTTGTTAGGAGATAAACAAGAAGAATGAATGCAAGCACACACTGAAATTAAATTAACAGGCCAATCTTGGTGTTTAGCTCATAAAAAATAAATAATTCAAATTACTTAACAAAAGTAAGTACGGCTAGCCACATGCCTAGACCTTGTGTTGTTTGCAATCATGAAGTACATCTGGGAAATTGACTGTCGTCCAAACTGTCGCCCGGACGTGCGATAGGGCAATTGAAACATCTTGGTAGGCGTATAACAGGGAACTAAATATATAGTATTTATCGACCAGGAGAAAGCGTTCGACAAAGTGAACAGAAACAAGCTGTGGAAAGAACTCGAAAACTACACTGTAAGAGGCCAACTTCTAGATAACATCTGTGCCATTTACGAGAACAGCTTAAGTACAGTAAGAACGTCAGAGGGACTCACAGAATGGCTCGAGATAACATCCGGAGTAAGACAAGGTTGTGTCCTATCACCATACTATATCATATATACGGACAGAATTAAAGAAGAGACCAACACAGAACCAGTCGCCCTAAATGAATTACTCTTCGCTGATGACCAAAGCCTGGCACACAAAGATGCACCAAGTCTCCAACACCACACTACCAGATTAAACGAAGAATGTAACACTACGACATGAAGATCAACATCACAACAAAACAGAGACATTGATGAAAGTAAGCAGAAGAAAGCCAGAACCACTCAGGATACACATCAACAACAACAGTCTCAGACAGGTCTAAGAATTTAAGTACTTCGGAAGTATATTCACAGAGGATGGGCGACTGAACAGAGAAATTGAAACACGAGTACAAAAGGCCAATAATGTTAGTTACGAGCTTACTCCACTACTGAAACATCCTAACATCCCTAAGACAACAAAACTCAAAATGATCAACACCATATTCATCCCAACACTCACTATCAAAGCCAAACATGGACCACGAACAAGACATTAGAGCAAAGAATTACAACATGTGAAATGAGATGCCTTAGGAAAGCAGTAAACAAGACCAGGCGAGACAACATTAGAAACTCTGTAATCCGAGAAATGGTGGGCACAAATGATGTCATGCATCACATCCAACACCAAAAAATGAAATGGTTAGGACATCTCCTATGATTACCAAGACACCATACCTACATAAAAAAAAATTGGATGGCAACAAGGCTAGAGGGCGACAAGAGAAAGACCTGAAGAGATGGAGTCAGGGAAACATTAACCACCAACGGCATCCCCCTGACCCAAGCTCTCTGGCTGGTGACAGAGAGACATCTCTTTTTTCCCGCGATACCCAAAAGGGTAAGTGGCGGATAAAAGTAAAGTAAGTAAAGAACTTAAACCGGCAGTGGACGCTCTGTCTAAATGAAGCTTGAGTGCCGTGAGTGTAACAACCACAGCGCCTGCAAACTATATTCAGGGTGCCGTGAATGTAGCCACTGCGTATTTGGGGACCAGATTCTAGCCTCACTACACTTGAGACTTGATATATATGTAAAAAAAACCTGATACAGTGAAGTCCTGAAATAACGAGTCCTGAAATAACGAGAAGTCTGTTATAAAGACATTTTTCTAAAACCCCGTTTTTTTCCCTTCTATCTTTGTAAATAAAATACTGCTGCAGCGCAATCAGATAAACACGGGAGTCGGTTATAGCGGAATATTGCTGCTGCTGTGCACAGCACATAGGCCATTTAATTTATATTTATACATGATATGAAAACCTCGCCAGTTGAGAAACTTGGTGATCAAACGGAAAAAAAAATGGGAGAGCCCATGTGTGTCAACGATGAAGGCCGGAGCGAATGAGCGGGGAGGGTGCGGCACGCACAGACAAGCCATATCTAACGCATTGCCTGATAGTGATAGGCCAGTCTAGTCTAGATTATCTAGGACTATCATACCTCTCACTTCTCCGATGCGGGAATGGAGAGGGCACAGTGCTGTGATGGATCATGGAGCAAATGTGTGACATGTGCAAGTAGACGCGGGAATGCACCACAGGGTGTGGTGGGGTGGGGGAAAAGACAGCGAGCCGGGCGAGTTAGCCTAGAAAACTTTCGTTCTGATAGCCAACGCCAAGCTGTCAACATCGCTAACGCTAGAGAAAGAAACCTGATTCAATTTTTGATCAAGTAGGCTAAGACCTAGATTATCTAGAGGTCACGTTGAACAAAGCCAATAAATTATCAGAGGAGATAACAAAAAGAAATAAACAGAACACCAAAGTCATAGATTAGGCCCACTTTATACTTCCTTTGAATTTATTGCTGGATCCCTTACAACGTGAATCCTGCTATAACGGACATTTCATACAGGTGCAGGTCCCCTCCCTCTCGAAATAACAGGATTCCACAGTAGTCATTGTGTTTTAGAGCGATGTATGATGTATAGAAATGTAATAGAAAATTACAAACAATTCTTACTTCTGTTGGGAAGATTGATTGAAGAATATTGGACCACTCGTACATTATTGCGCCAGAATGTGGGGTAGGTGGGGCAGGTGGAGGAGGGGGGGTTCAGGGGGGTCTCCCCCCTAACAAAATTTCAATGAATAGATCTACCGGTCCGAGATTCTCCATTGAGAGATATTAAAAACGGGAAAATTATGAATTCCTAAGGTTGAGACATTGAGGCAAAGTCAGTCCGCTGGTCCGGTATTCTTCAATCTTACCCTTCTGTTTCTCAATAAAATCGTTTTGACTAGATTCTAGAATCTAGATCTAAATCTAGATCTAAATTATAGATCAAGATCTAGATCTAGATAGATCTAGATTCTAGATTCTAGATCTAGAATCTAGATAGTCTTGTAAGTGTTAGTGTTCACTCGAATCAATGGGGCCTACAGACTTCCTAAAACTAAAAAGTCCACTTCACCACAGTAAGTTGTAAGTAATTTTCAATCATTTGTACAAACATACCGAGCGAGGTGTAAGGCGTGGTTGGGTGTCTGACCGTCCTCCAAGGGTTGGCAATCATGTTCATCAAAATAAGAAGCCATGATCTGGTTCAATTTTGTAAAACAGCCTATCTCTCTGTGTTCAATCTCAGGCAAACTTGCTCTTCTAAACAATACAATCGAAAATGAAAGTTGTTCTGACAGAGCAAAATAGAGTACGGAACCGGACGTGAGACACCAAAGATCTCCTGGTTTCTTGTAGAAGAGAGTTCTACCTGGAGCTCTCGAGGTTGTCAATGTTTCTAATGACAACAATCATGGCGGATGCTCAGGTATCAACCCCATTCTCCCGTTTTCTATTATGTTGATGTTAAAATTACAAATTGATCTTTCTTATTAGAACCCCCTCCCCACACACACACACCAATGTCGTCCTAAATATTTCATTTAATCTTTCACAACTCACGTTTTCACACGAACATTGCCTGAGGTGAGGTTATGAGCTTAAATCTGCTTCACTTCACTGTCTTCAGGCAGTCATAGCAAGAAACTGTAATTATTGTTTGGGTTTGCGCGGTACTGTCGATACTTTTGTGTTCCCTCTATTGTTCATCCTTTTCACAGAAGTTACCACACTTCTTTTAATATGAAATACCTGTGTCTCCTACTGTGTCAAAAGTCTCCCTCAAATAAACCATGACGCTCTTAGAGGGCTTTTCAAATCTGATTCTTCCATTTAAAATAATTTTGTTTACGGTTTAGTTTACTTATGGGAATTGGGCCATTGATGTATTAGGACATATATTAAAAGATTGTGTCAGTATGGGCTTTAAGCAACTTGTTTTAAACTCATCATTTAAAAAAGAATGTAAAAAAAACTAATTTGATAAAAACATTGTGAATTACGTGCACGGTGCATATGCTCAAGTCATATATACTCTCTCTCTCTCTCTGTCTCTCTCTCTCTCTCTCTCTCTCTCTCTCTCTCTCTCTCTCTCTCTCTCTCTATTTATCTCACCCGTTTCTTTCTCTCTCTCTCTCTATCTCACCCCTTTCTTTCTCTCTCTCTCTCTCTCTTTTTTTCTCTCTGTCCTTCGCCTCTCGCTGTCCTTTTCTCTTTCATTCTCTCTCTGTCTCTCTACATAGCTCCGTCTTAACCACAATATATATAAATACACACGAACACACATACCCATATGCACACAAATGCACACACATGCACACACACAAACACACACACACATTCACACTCACTCAAACTGTACACACACTTATGCTGCGAGTCACGTTCACGAAGACTCGTGCATTGATACGCATCCACTTCCACTCATACAAATGGGGTAGGAGAGATAGGGAATGCATTTCAGTTGTGAAGTGCCTATATTTGCATAAAAATTTCTCGAGAAACTTTATATAAAAAGTCACATTTTATTAAGACATACAAGGAATTCTTAAGGTACCTTCCCTGTTTATACCTCTGATCTGTCAGTGTAAGCGAGGATGTCTTTATTTACTACACAGGTTAAGTTTTATTCTTTTTAGTTGTTTCTGTGAGGAGGGGAGGCATGAAATACAACTTGTTAGCCAGGGACAAATGAGGAAGAGAAGAACTCTGAAAACCTCTCCTCTTACCGTTTGTTATAGTGCAACCCCCCCCCCCCACCCAACAATCTTCTTTTATGAAAGCATATTGTACAGTGAAACCTGCAATGGCAGGAGGTAAAATTTACTGTGGATGGGAGGATAGGGGGAAGTATAATGTGTTATGACACTGTGGCAGTCTTTGGGCATGGAGCTATTGGTATAACTTTCAAACCTATGTTCATTTGCCTCTATTTTGTCCAAAAAAAAATACTAATCTATCTTGAATGAAAGAGGAGATATTTCTGATTGAATTAGGTGGACGACACCTGGTGTCAGAGGTGAAATTAATTAGAAAATGGCAGCTAAAGTTTGGTGACTTCCATGTAGATAGTGTCTTCAAACTCCAAATTTATACTTCTTTTTGCCTTTGATAGATATGTTTTAATGTAAAATTATACAAGCATATAATACCACTTTCTTGCCATTACATTTCACTGTCCTCGAATTACATAGTCCTATACCTGCTCAGTATCTAGTTTTAAGAAATATAACGTTAAAAATTTTTAAAAATCAAGTCAAACTTTTTCAATGCAATTATTCTCTGAATATTATCTTGATAACGACTCCGAATAATCTTATGATTTTGATAGAAAAGATAGAACATTTGGTTTCTGACTTCATGGCCTTAGTAACTCAAAACGGCCAAAAATGTCAGATAGAACTTTGTGATTCTAAGGAAATGATGTGTCACCCTTATATGGCCCATGTATTCATTACAGGAGGATACCCCAGCAGCAGAGGAGACCAAGCCGGAGGAGGCTGTGGAGGCACCAGCTGCAGAAGAAACTGCAGGGGAAGCCCCGGGTGAGGAAACAGTGACACAAGATGCTGAGGCAACAGAAGCTCCTGCTGAGGTAGAGGGAGGCACCGAGCAGGCTGCTGAAGGTACTCTGCTGTGGAAATTTATTTAGACATACTTAGTAATGCTTACCGATATGGGTTTATGGGAAAATGTGTTGGGTTTTTTGTTTTGTTTTTAATATATTTTTTTATAGACAGTGAAAGTGTGGATGAGGCTTTTTGTTTTTATTAAACCAGGCCTGGACTATTATAAGTACAGGTTGCAGTTACAACTGGAATGTATGAAAGAAACAGATTTTTTTTGTTACATTAAGAAATCATTTTGAATAAATGCTCTTGATTTTGATTGATGAACTTGAATTTTCTCTTTTGAAATGTTTAATTCATGTCCACCAAACTAATGAATGATTTTAGGAAAATGAAATGCATTCTAAATTGTTTTAAGTGGTTGTGTGTTTTTTTTTCAAATGTGTTGAAGGTGAAGCGGCTCCAGCAGAAGGAGGAGAGAGTGGGGGTGGAGGAGAGGCTGATGCTGAAGCCAAACCTGAGGAGGGAGGTGAAGGACAAGAGGCTCCAGAGCCACAGGCTGAGGGAGAAGGTGGGGAAGCGCCCTCAGAGGAGCAGCAACAGCAGCAGCAGGCAGAGGCTGAAGGTTCCGCTGAACAGACAGAGGGTGACGCTGCTGCTGCTGATGCTGTTGCTGCTCCGGCTGAGGGAGGCGACGCTGTTGCTGAGGCTGACTCGGCTGAAAAAGCTGAGGCAGCTGAGGCGGCTGAGGCTGTTGATGGTGTTGAGCAGGCAGAGGGAGCTGAGCCAGCTGAAGGGGCGGAGGCCACTGCTGCCCCAACTGAAGAAGGTGCTTAGGAGAATCCGTATCTTTCACTGCTCTATCGTAGCGTTACTTTATCCGTTCTCAGTCTGCCTTTCTCTATAACCATACACAACAAATACAAGGCATAGTTATAGGTCAGCAGGCAGTGAAAAGGAAAAAAGTGATCAAACTGGTTATAAATAGTTCAGAGTTTCCAAATGAATTTCCTTCGATCATGCTTTATTTGAGAGGAGTTTTAATGATGCTTAAAGCAATGTTTTGTGTGCAAAACTGAACATTACATAATACATTCAGTAATGATTTCATAACAGTTTGGAACTTAAAACCGCTCCTTAAATTAGAAGTCTCTTTTGTCTTGTCATTTGCTTCGCTTTTCCATATGGCATGCCTAGTCTTTTTTTTTCGTTTCTATTGCTCGGTTTACTTGTGAGAGTCGATTATTAGAATCTTTCTTGACAGAACAGAAGCAAGTGTCAGTTTTTCTTCCTTTTCCCATATGCTCGTTTCCTTCCCTTTTTCTAATGAGTTGTCCGTATAACCTCACAAATCATGAACTATTCCTATTTCAAACACATTTAGGTTCTCCTTCAGGCTGTAATATATCTGTCTTGCACCCTTCTAGTCAATCTCATGCAGTACTTGCATTCATTATATCATAATCTTGACTGATAAAGCAATTGATGCCGATTTTTTTAGTAAGGTTTACTTGCAAGAATTCAGAAAAACTTGCAGTTGTGGTGAGGTATCCTTCTGCTCTGTGAATTGAAATTACTTTGTTGCACTTTTGAATCTTTAAAAGAAATTTCTACTTTCAGTTTTCATTTGAATAATTAAATGAACAAATTTGTGGCATCATGGTGAAGAAATCAGGCACTTGTCAGAATAACAAAATGGAAGAAACCAACATGTTTCCGCTCATTGTGCAATTTTATTGAATTTCTTTTGAGAGGTGGGGCTCAGCACCCTTTTTGTCCATTTGAAAACACATTTCTGTGTGGATTTTACTGGGAAAAGTTGTTCAAAGACGCAAAAATGAAAATTTGAAGTTTCCGTGAACACTCAAACTGTTCAAGTCATGAAACTTTGGGGTGGTCATTTCCTCACTTATTTTACCTCTACTGCCAGGCAACCCCCCCCCCCCCCCCTCCTCCCCCTCTTAATTCCTTCAAATGGAAATATCATGACATCTATTCGAGATAGATGGATATCTTTTTTCATCAAAAAAAAAGACAAATGAACCAGCTTTAAGATTATTCCAATAACTCCATTTGCCGAAAAATTGTCTGGCTCCTGATTCCATCATGTGATAACACAAATGCTTTTTGTATGTTATATTTCATTAATTTGAAGAGGGTTTGAGTTTTGAAATTACATTTGTGTAAACGTATCTTTGATTCAACCTTGTGCACTTTACTGTTGTTTAAATTGGTTTCTGCCCTGAAAGTCAGGATAAGCTGATATTTGAAGTGTTGTTGATTCTTTTTAAAAATTGTTTTAAATAGACAATTTTTAGTTGGAAAATTTTAAGTGACTGCTGTAAATCATTTTACCTGTAACTGGGAGAAAAGTTTTCTTTGTGCATAAGAGAGGTGATTTGAAAAGAACTTCTAAGATTTAAAAAGTAATTTCTAGAACATGATGCACACACTAATTCTAGGTTATACGTGTGTTTCTAAATGACTTTCTAATATAGCTTCTTTTCTCCGAAAAAGTTTCTTTGGTAAGATTGTGAAAATGTGCACCTCTGATGAGTACTACTGTTGCAAGCTTCAATATATTTAAATTAAATGAGAACTTACTTTGCACAGATGGTGAAAAACCAGAAGGAGCTGAAGAGGAAGGAGAGAAAGCTGAGGGAGAAGAGGGAGAAAAGGCAGAGGGAGAAGAAGGAGAAAAAGCTGGAGGTGAGGAAGGAGAAAAGACTGAGGAAGCGGAGACCGGTGATGCTGAGAAGAAAGAAGACGGAGAAGGAGAGGATCAGGGTGAAGGCGACGCGGATGTTACGGCAGAGGTGAGTTATTATTTTCCATTTTGGGTCAAACAATTATTAAAGAGACAAACCAATAGACAAGTGATACCACGCAGATGGCAAAGAGGTCGGTTATATATAATACTAGATCTCGCAGCAGTGATGTCACAAGTGTCAGACATGGAGGGCTTCTTTCTTACCCTCATCGGCATGGCCGGCGTGCCCCCATTTACATGAACAATCTGAACCCCCATCCTGTTCCCCTCGAGCTCTAGTATATTAAACTCCACCTTGCCCCCATATTTCAGTGCAAGCTTGTAGATTTCCTCCTAAGACCGCTGAGACTCCTTCACCAGAGTCAAGAAAAATACTCACCTGTTTGTTGAACTCTGCATGTCGTGCCCTTGAGGTTCAGTTTCGAGTGCCATGTGCAGTCACCGTTCATGTATGTGGGGAACATCACTGCCACAAACTCTAGTACTAAATATAATCTCTTTTTGCAGATAGACAGTTGACAGGCAGAGGGAATTACCAACATTAACCCTATCCGAACGTCATGTTTTACTATCGTATCCATACGACGTGGGGAACTCTGTGCCACCGTTTTCCAAAGAGGAAATGTACTTGTTTATCCGATCCGTATACTTTGCATAGCTGTCTGTCAAAACGATTTTTTGAGAAATACTGAAAGTTTCAAAGAGATCTTTTTACTAGAAGTATTCTTAAATGTGAAGAATACAACTTCGAGGTACATAATGACCCCAGGGCGTACAGATAGGGTTAATACTGGCATTGTGCTGGTGTAGCCTTGTGTACCTGATAAGTAACAGCTGGTTTCTAATCATAAGATGTACTGAAATTTTCCATACATATATATAGAGAGAGTATTATGCTTGTTTTCTTTGCCAAGTCATGCATATGGACAGATAACTTTATGTTGCATCAAAGTAGGATGACACAATCCTGTTTTTTTATTTGATAAAAAAAAACACAGCTTATTTAACGAAATAATGTCTTCCTCTTGTAAGAAAAATCTTAATTTACATAAATTTAGTAACCTTGGACTTGCCCTGTTTTAGTTTATTTTTCCACCTTTGTATATGGTTTGATTTAAATCTGTTGATTATGTTATGCCTTATTAAACCAAATGTCTTAGAACTGTGTTTGTTTTCTTTTGTTGTTTTAATTTTTGTTTTGTTTTAATACTTTCATCAACTCACTTTGCTCAAATGGAAACAATTGTATGTGTATTCTTTACAATATCTTCCTTTACATCTCCCGATCCCAGTGCTTTCTTGTCATATCTCCATTTTATAAACAGTGAAAATGTGACTTCTTCTGAAGCTCTCTTTTTGATATAAACTGTTTTCACTGTTATTAAAATGGAGATACAACAAGAAAACACTGAGGTCGCGATCAGTCTGTAGAATTTTCACACACGTCTGATTACTAAACATTCTACTTACCAGGCCCCAGCAGAAGATGCAGAAAGGGCAGAGAGCCCGGTGGCTGTAGGAGAAAAGTTGTCTCGCGGGGGCACACCTGACATCACAGATGCAGCACACCTTGAACAGGAGAGACTAGAAGCTACCACTCCAGACCGGCTTCGTGAGTTACATTTTTAATATCACCCCATTCATTTTGTTCTCTTTTTTTTTTCTTTTATGCAGAGGTTTAAAACATTAAGATTGGGTTTTGAAGGCTGACTACTTGACAAAGTAACTGGACACTAGGCTGAAAAGAAGTACTTTATGGCACTCATATGACCTTATGAAGTTGCGAGCGCCGTAATACGTCTACTAAAACAAAAAAGAAATATTTAAGGAGGTGCAAAAAAAATTTGAATCCTCTTGAATTTGTACCTCAAGCTTCCATACGTTTCTGTCAAGTTAATAACTGTTTCTCTGTGGACGGCTCTGATCTGATCTTTTTGTTGAGATTTCCAATAATGTAATCTTGAAATACTCTTTCAACTACTTGTTCAATGTCCTGAGATTTTATGATAGAGCTAACAAAGATGCTTGATCATAATTATACATAACTTGTTTTGTCACATAGTTATCGTTTGATCAACTACTCTACCTCAGTTTTTCTCATTTCCTGTGAGAGACTCAATCAAAATCGTCGTAAGCACATTTTTCTCTTTTTTATATTTTCACAGTTTATTTTCAACAAGTGTTTAATGTGGTTTTATCTTTTAAAAGGTGTTTGTTTTCAAGCTTATCAGTCTAATTTCTTATGTGCAAAATTGTATAAGCTAAAAAAAAGTATTGACCTAAACAGTTTTTATAAACCTTGACTAAATATTTGTGAAAATTTCTATTTTATTGCAGATGAAGAGGAAGGGGAAATGGACCACGAGCATGATATTAGGGATGATGATATGGTCGTTGAAGAGGATGAGGAGGAGGAAGAAGAGGAAGAAATTGTGGAGCCTCAGTTCAAGAGAGAAGATCTGATAGAGAGATATCATGTAAGTACATACATAGCGATAGGAACTCAACAAAATACAAAACACTCAACCACATATTATTTCTTTTGATCACGTTTCACCTGGCACTATACACTGATTGTTTTTGTTTTTTTTATTCCTTGATTTGTTTTAACCAGTGTCTGTGGTACGACAGTAAAGTGCTTTGTTTTTACATGCGGAAGATCTGAGTTCAATTCCCACATGAGGTGAAAAGTTATCTAGTATTTTAGACTTTCTGCTGGGATGTTGTATCCCTTTCAGCCTAATTGGCCCTTACAGCCAATGTTAAAGCCCATCTTTTAAAAGATCTAAATTGTGTTAATTTGAGCATAAAAGCACCCATATTTTAAAAAATACAATTTGTTTTATTTTTCTCAATTCTTAATAGCAACTCTGAATCTAAAGTTAATCTTCTGTGGTCGATTGAGTGCTGAAGAAAATTTGTTTATCGTCCATTATTTTTAAAAATATGTTATAATTAGAATCCTCTCATCTTTGAGCTGAGAAGAATCTAGACCAGCATTATCTATACTTGTGCCTGATGAAAATGCTCCCACATTTGAGTACTGAGCTAGATTTAAATTGTTTTCTCCTGTTGTAGACACAGCTGGCTAAAGCACCAAAAGAACAAGGGTATCAATTTGTAGCATGGAAATCATCATGACTTGCAATAAATTTAATAATTCAATGTATAAATACAGTCAAACCTGCCCTGACGGCCACCTCTATGAGACGGCCACCTGTACTAACGGCCACTTTCCATTTCCCCCTTTGCGTTTCTTCTATTTAGTTTAACTGTGTAAAATGGGCACCTGTCCAACGCAGCCGCGGCCACCATATTTTAACACACAACCCCTATCACACTAAGCAATAACACCTGTCTTAGACGTCCACCTTAGTGACTCCATTACGTTTTGTCATAAATTGTGCATTGGCCCCTGTCGTTGTGGGCGAGCCATCATAATCTAATCACCTGTTGTTGTTAGGTAGTCCCTCCAACCGATCATATTGGGTAGGTCCCTCCCACTGTTGACTAATAGCTACCAATTTTCAGCTGCTGGTGAGGTAAGCGTTTGATCCCTCATAACCCATAAGCTCCGCCCAGAACTCATACACAAATCGTAAGTGAGATGAGTAGTCACTGTTTACCCAGTCTGTAACAAAGTAACAATGGATGTCAACCTGAACTTGTGACAGAAGCGTCGCTCGCTCTCCGAGTGGTGGCGACCTATGTGTTTGTTTAAACATGGCACTCGGTCTTCCTCGTCTGATACATTGCGTTATATTGTCACCCTTGTGCAAAATCAGCAACAAAATAAAAATTAAAAACAAAATACAAACCAACAACAACAACAACAACAACAACAACAACAAAAACAACAACAATTTTAAAGCGGCTACTTTCGATTGGGACCTCAGATGGGAATGGTTTTATATGGCCACTTTTCTCCTTGATAATGGGTGGCCGTCTTACACAGGTTTGACTGTACCTCAATCTGTTTACCTTTTGAGGCCTTTTATCAATGACTAGACAGACTCATGCGGAGAACGAAAATACTGAAAGTATAACAGTAGGAGCAACATTTTTGCCTGAAATGGCATTATGAGAACTTTTATTTTCTTTTGCAAGAAACTTTTTCATGCAAAGGAAAATACTGAAAGTACAACAATTAGTGCAACATTTTTTTTCTGAAATGACATTCATTATGATAACTTTTTTTTCTTTTGCAGGAAGCTCTTTCCGACCGAGAACAGTTGCAGCAACAGAATTATGGCCTGCAGCACAAGCTGGCTGAGTACTTCAGGAAGAAGAAGGCGGATGAGAGACAGGACTACGACAAGAATGTCACTGATCAGGAGCAGCGCTACCTCAAATACATGGGTTAGTCGGTATTTCTCTCTTTCTTTTGCCAGGGATGCCAAATTTTCGTTTTTTCCAGCTTTTTCCGGTTTTTTCATACACTTCCAAAGGAAAGGGGAATGGTAAGAGAAATGTTTTTGTTTACTCATTTAAAGATTTTACAAGGTTCGTTTTAGGTGAGGTGTGATGCTCTGCTCATTTTCATTTTTTTTTTCAAAAATCATTTGCCATACCTGTTTTGCTTCTGGCACAGATATATATACATCATAAGTGATCAGCGATGCAGTCAGCTTTGCAGGAACTCAATGCTCACTGTTCCTTGAACAGTGCTTATCATGGGTCATTGAAATGTCCCAGCAGACGTGTTTTGGCACGATCATTGACAGGACATTTCAGGAGCACGTGGTCCATAGTCTCGTCCTCCTCTTTGCAGGCTCGACAGGACATATCTGGGTTGTCTGCTGGCACGATTTTGTGTAGATGAAATTTCAGCTTGGGCGATTTTCTACCAGTTCTCTTTTGGGAGAGAAGCTTGTGGTCTTGTAGGGGTTAGTCGGTTGGCAGCTTAGGTGATGGAGAGGATACAGGTTGATGGACGCTGAGAAAATTGACTTTTTGGAAGGATGGGCAGATATTTTTTTGACCCACAATGTTTATGTGAATGCTTGAGTTGTGAAAAGAAAATGCTGCACCTTCAAGTTTATCTATCGTATGTTGGACAGCACTGTCGGAAAAAGACTGAAAACATGATTTAACTGTGATAGACAAAGAGCAAGTATTCTACTTTTCAAAGTAATGTTTTTATCTAAGGCTTTTGCTATGATTAACATCTTTCATTGTGTCACTGTTTGATGATGTTAAAAAAACATTAACAATGCCTCTCCTTGTAAGAAGGACAGGATTATTAAAATTCTACAATTTTGTACTCTTCGCTCAACTTAAAGTACATAACTTTAAAAAAAGAAAATAGATTGTTTATGTCCCTATCTGTACGATTTAGATCATTTAGGAGTCAGGCTTGGACCCTGCCTGTCAGAGCCAAGCTGGGCTGAGAGAGGTACAACTCCCTAGGAGAGATGCAGAGATACCAGAACTCAATGAAAATTCTATCCGTACAAGCACAAACTCTGGTCTCCTACATGCAATAGTGAAGTGACTAACTGCTACACCACAGATGCTGGCAAAGTAGATATATGTGACACGACGCGATGGAATCAGGTGCTCTTCTATTTTGGGCCATGTGGAGTTATTAGTAAGCCTATCGTCTAAAAGCTTATTCATTTGTCTTGCTTTTGATTTAACTCTTTGAACCCCGTCGGACACTGGGAGCGTCCACCACTAGTGACAACAGTTTTGTTTTATTTAGTGATAGTTTTTGCTTGTTTTTCGGAACTATTCGAGAACTAAGTTTTTTAGCAATGACTATGCCTTTGTTTCCGCTATTTAGAAGTTGGGGACAAGCTTTTGGGGTTATATTGAGACATAGTGCACTAGGTTTAGGTGACTGTAAAAAAATACTCCGGGAAACGGTGGAAAAAACTCAGGGCTTAAAGAGTTAAAGAATGCCCATTTATCTTGAATAGAAGTCCAGATATTTGTGATTGTTCACGTGGTTTCAGTGGTAAAATTAGCGAGAAAATGACAGCAAAAGTTTGGTAACCTCATTAGCTTGAGAGTCCTTTAAAACTGAAAAATTACATATTTTGTGTCTTAAATCAACATTTTACTGTACAATTCACATAAGAATGTGTTTTTATATATATAGCAATAAAAGGTGCTTTGCCAAAAAATAAAAGTTCGATAAAAATTGCCCAACTGATGGAAAAATGCCTGTTTCTTCTATTTCAATATTTTGACGAGCGCCTTATTTCACCACGATGCCTCACAATTAATGTCAGTGCAGCTCTAGGAGTCTTACAACTTTGGTTTCACTGAAGTACCTCTCTCCATACAGCCCAGCTGGAGGACTTGCGGCGGCAAGATTCGATGGAAAAAGACAACTACTTTGCCCAGATTGAAGAAGCAAAGGCTAGGTGTCAGGAGAAGAAGGAGAAAGTGGACATCGAGAGAGGCAAGTTCATGGAGTTCAAGACACAGGTGGCGCTCAGAGCCATCAACAGCAGATCTGGGAAACCGATTCCACCAAAGGTAAGAGAAGAGTGTGACTCGAGGTCTTATATTTACTACTGCATTAACTATAATTTATCTCTAATAGGGTTAAAATCCACTGTGCTGGGGCTCTTTTTTGACACTAAATCTAAAAATGAAGAAAACGTCACTAAATTGGTCATTAGATCAAAACAAGTAAACCTCTTTTTATAGTTCTTCATCTAATGAATGAAATCCCGATAAAAGAGACCTGTTTTCGGAAAATGCCGTAAAGTAATTTAATGTCGTAAAGAAATGTTCCCGAGCTGTAAGCAGCTCCCCAGCACAGCGGTTCTGATCGCAAGCCGCTGGGACTGGCTTGCCCGAGATAAAGAAGTTACGGTTTTTATTTTATGTCTTCTCTGTATTTCTCATACTTTTAGCTTTTTATTATTTTCCCTTGCCTTGCCTTTGTGTATTTTATCCCAATGTTTTTGTTTTAAAAACCAGTACAATTTATGTTTACTTGTTCTATTTCTTTTATGAGAAAACTGTTCTAGAAACTGAAAATTTGAAGCAACGAAAGTTAATTCATCTCTTTGACTGTAGTATATATTATAAGTGTTTCGCAAATTAAAATAATTCTTGGTGATATTTTAAGAAAATTAGTTTTTGGCGATATTATTTCCTTTACTTCCTTCAGATAGTCTCCTTGAATGAGATATGGTTGATTAGAAATTCTTGAAGCTGACAATGATTTGTCCTGGTTGTGGTATGAGTTATGTGATGATTTGTTTGTTGTTTTATTGTTGTTAATGTTTTAGGGCGATCTCCAAAAAAGAAAAAATGCCTAACAAATGATGATTTGTGAATGATTGCAAGCTTACAACAATACTTTCTTTTCATCATTATCATAGCTCTAATGATTTTCTCTTTTTGTTGCAGGACATAGAACAATACATGATCAATGAAGACAAGAAGGAGAAAGATGTGGTCGAAGTGCGATTGGAGAACATCAAACTCAAGAATAAGCTCAAAAAGAAGGAACAGCAACTCAAATCGAAGGTGTGTGAAAATGTTTCTTTTTTTTTTAACTTCCCCGACATACTGACACTTAACTCTTCCTGTACCTGTAGTTTGGATCAGGATTTGTTGATGTTTCTTCCCTTTTCGAATGAGTGCCTCACATACCAAAATGTCTGTAAATGTATGAATATTTGTGAGCCATTGTCGTGGAATCAGGCGCGCATCAAAATATTGGAATCATTGGAATCGAAGAAACCAGCATTTTTCTGCTGGTTTGGCAATTTTTATCTAATTTTTGTTTTTTAGCTCAGCATCTTTTATGTCCATTTAAAAGCACATTTCTGTGTGAATTTTACCTAAAAACGTTGATTATAGGGACAAAAACTGTAAATTTTCAGTTTTCACGGACTCTCAAGCTATGGAAGTCACCAAATTTTGGCGACCATTTTCTCGCTAATTTTACCTCTGTGCCTGATGACCCCCATCTCTTTCAATTGCAAACATTTCAACATCTATTCAAGAAAAAAGGATATTTTTAATTCAAAGTAAAGCAAATAGACTGGCTCTAAGATGATATCAATAACTCTATACGCCCACAAATTGACAAATGCCTGATTCTACAATGACACATTTTATAAAAATATATATATTTTTGTAAGATATTTACATCCATATTCAGGGATGCCAAATCTCCGGTTTTTCCAGCTTTTTCCATTTTGTTCATACTCTTGCAAAGGAAAGGGGAATGGTAGGAGAAATGTTTTTGTTTGCTCATTTAAAGATTTTACAAAGTACGTTTTAGGTGAGATGTGATGCTCCGCTCATTTTCAGGTTTTTATTCAAAAATAATTTGGCATCCCTGCTTATTGATGTTACAAAATCCTAAACAGGTAAGAAATGTGTTCTCCATAAATAAAATATCATGTTCAATCTGTTTTAAATAATATATGACAATTTTCTAGATATTACAGATTCACTTCTTGTTGCATTATCTACAACCATGAAGAAACAGCCACTGCAAATTTGAGGAGAAAAGATTTTAAAAAGTAAAACACAGTTTCCGTGTAGCTTACATAACCAGTATACACCATATATTTTATATTTTTATCTGTGTGTGGAGCAAACTACACACTGCATTATTGCCATCATGGATGTGAAATGATATGCAAATACAGTGTAAAACAGGTTGCTCAAAGCCTTGCTAGTTTAAGGGATCCACAGTTCGAGGGATATACTTACAAAGATAAAGAAAGAAAAAAAGGGACCTCAAGCACAGGTCAAGGGATGCATGATTTTGAGTCTTCTGTGTTCGACTTATCCGTGTTATACTGTACGTAGTTAAAAAGTGTAGCAGATGTTGGAGAGACCAAAAATGACAGTTTCATGAAGAAGAACTAGCCTAGATATTTGCAATATATATATTGCAGCCTTGATTTCAGTGACACAGTGTAAGGCTGTGGGCAGATAAGGAAAAAAATCTGTGTGACAGTGTGCGGATCTTATTATGTAACCCTACCCGTACACCCTGGGGTCATTTTGTACTCCCGGGGTCGTATTCTTTTCATTTTAGAATACTTCTAGTGCGAAGATCTCCTTTTACACTTTCAGTATTTCTCAAAAAATTATTTTGACAGACTGCTATGCAAAGCGTACGAATTGTATTAACAAGTAAATTTCCTCTTTGGAAAATGGCGGCACAGAGTTCCCCACGTCGTATGGATACGATAGTAAAACATGACGTTCGGATAGAGTTAAAGAGTAAATGTGTCACGACATGGTGGAATCAGGCACTTGTCAATTTTTGGGCACGGGGAGTTACTGTTATCATTTTAAAGTTTGTTCATTTGTCTTGCTTTCAGTTTTATAAATGATCGTCTATCATGAATAGAAATCAAAATATTTGCAATTGAAAGAGGTGGGGGTTGCCTGGTTTCAAAGGTAAAATTAATTAGAAAAAGGCCGCCAAAGTTTCATGGTAACTTCAGTAGATTGAAAGCCCGTGACAACTGAGCGTTTACATATTTTGTGCTCTTTATCAACATTTTTCAGTAATATTCACTTGGAAATGTGTTGTTACATGGACGTAAAAAGTATTAATCTAAAAATACAAAAATTTGATTAAATAAGTTCCCAAAATGGTGGAAAAATGCCTGTTTCTTTGATTTAATTATTTTGATGAGCGCCTGATTTCAGCATGATGCCTCACATTAAAAGAGTAAATAGTGGAAAGACTTAAGGAAAAAAATTAACACCTCATTTTTCCGTTATTAGATTCATACTATGATAAATGCATAAACTATAACAGTATGAAATATAATTCAGTAGGCCTATAGACTGCTCAGTTGAAAAACTCACTAACCATTAGGAGATTTTTTATTATCTTTTTGTCTCTTTAGATCTTTTCTTCCTTTGGGCGGTGCTTTGGGGTATTGTATTAAATTGTCTGTCCAAAACATTTTTATCCGACTGATTTTCGTTTGTTAAGTTCTATTTATCAATAGCATGTTTCTGCTGGTTAAATTTGTGTTTTTACGAAAACTGTGCCAATACTAAGAGATAGTTGCTACTTACAATAACTTTTTTGTCCATTTTTATATATGTATTTTGATTTTTTTATCTTTCAGGAGGAGCTTGCTGAAGGTCTTCACTTAATAGACTTTGAACAACTCAAGATTGAGAACCAAACATACAATGAGAAAATTGAGGAAAGGAATGAGGTAAGTCATATAAAATGTGATCATAATCTTTTCTCTCTACGAGTAAACTTTTCATATGATTGATCTGTTCCCTTTTTTTCTCATTACGTTCATGTCTTTGAACTCTCATCTGCTGACAAAAAAAAGTAAAACATTTCTTAATTATTTGTAGCTAATAGAGATTCTGAATAAAAAACATTTATGATTTATCTCAAAACCTTCATAAAAACTGATGAGAATAGTACACAGCCAGTAACGGGTATTGGATAAAAGAAAACTTATTTTCATCCACTCTATATTAATAGCCAATGCGTTGCCTGTGAAGTGAATTAGTAAATACGTGATTTGAAATCTGGACCGCATCAAGTTAGTTCACCCTTTTTACTGAGTGCGCTTTCTGTAGTAAAAGACCTTTTTAAATTCTTCTAGTTTGTTTTTCTCTGTGTTGAAACAAAGCAAAACAAAACTAAAAACAAAACCAGAAAAAGAAAAAATGAAACAAAACAACCCCCCCCCAAAAAAAAAAAAAGTAGCAGGGTACCGGAACGAGGGGATTCCTCTGGTATTGTGTGTATTTAGCTTGGAAAGTGCGTCTCTAAGAAAGGAATAATAATCGCGTAGTGACAATCGATTTATTAAGGTTTAACTGGTTATTTCCACAAACCATTTCCTTAGAGGTGTGTTGATTCTATGAAATTCTCATTCCAAGAAAAATCTGTGCTTATAATAAGAACGTTTCTTAGAATTGTGGCATAATGTTATATTGCTCCTAGCTTTATTTTGGTGAGTTAGTTCAGTAGTAATGCAAAGTTGTGGCGAAGAGGCTGGGTCTCTGATGGGGCTGGAATAGTTGATGGAGTAGCATGCAGACGCCTCAAACTGAAACCTCTAAACATAGAAGCCTTATAAATCACTGTACAGCCCTAAATGACATCAGAGCTACACTTCTCCCTCCGAGACCTAACATTGACAACACACTCTACGGAACATTACAGCAACAGCAGCAAACCTGCACTTATCACTACTTGGCATTGGACAGAAGGGCGAGGGCCCTGCTGTTGCTGGATTGATAACAACAAGAACAACAAAAGCCATATTATATTTTGGCCTTTACCGAAAATTGTTTTAAAAAATAGAATATTATTTTGATAATGTAAATTGTCTTTGAAAACTAAATTTTTGCCATGAATTATTTTTAACGTGACCATGTAAAACCAAGCCATGCTGCAAAATGTTGTGAAAGTGATGAACTTGTGTTTCATGCGGACATATGACTTTATGTAGTTGCGAGCGCTGTAAAACTCTTACTAAACTAAAACTAAACCTCTAAACCGTGGGTGGTTGACAGGTGCTCTGGTGGGGTTTGCTCCTTCTGCCCTACCTAACATTTATCACCCTTTCTCTCTTCCTTTTTTTTGTGTTTGTTGCTCTCTTGTTTTTATTTATTTTTATTTTTATTTATTTATTTTTTTTTTGGGGGGGGGCGTGTCGTTGGAGTTTGAAGCGGGAAGAGGTTAGGTATGTAGTTGGAGCCCCATGACATAATGTAATAGCATATTTTTTTTAATTAATGAAGTGATGTCAGATAGGGAAGCGAAGCTGTCATAATGATATTAATGTATATTACAGAAAGTTTGGGTGTTTTTTTTATATTTTGAGAAAGAGAAGGGGGGTAGGCAGACAGACAGACAGACAGACAGACAGACAGACAGACAGACAGACAGACAGACAGACAGACAGACAGACAGACAGACAGACAGACAGACAGACAGTGTGTTTATATGTGTTTGTGTGTGGGGGGGGGGGGGGTAGTAATTAGACAAACAGACGAAACCTCTCAATGGACACGAAAAAAAAAAAAACCAGACAGGCGAATTGACTGATTGCAGAGAGGCCTTAATTGTAAGCTTACTTTTCCGGAAAGCTGACAAGCTTATCAGAGCTGAATTATCATGATCAGATCGTGTGAAATGCACCTGTGATATATTTTAGTTTTAGTAGAGGTTTAACGGCGCTCGCAACTGCATAAGGTCATATGAGCCCCAGAAGATTAGAGGTGTTACAAGAGAATAACAAACATAAAAAAGAAGAAGGGGAGAAAAGGACGACAGATGTTTGATGGGAAAGAAGAAGCAAACCACACCAGAGCACCCGCCAACCACCCACCGTGTGATATATGTGCCAGAAGTGATTGAAGGGGAATGTAAAAGCGTGATTGAAACTTAAATTAAAAAAAAAAAACACCTGAAAATGAGCAACTTCAAGCAAAGGCTTGTTTGTTTTTATTAAAATTTTAGACGTAAATGTTGCTTCTCTTGGAAACACAGTGGAGAAAGTGAAAGTGCAACAACGCGGCAGGTGTTGTGTCGGACTTAATAGTTTTGAAAGGATGGGTTTTGTTTTCATTTATTTTATTTTGGGGGGGGGGGGTGGGTTGTTGTTTTTTAAAATTCTTTTGTCAGATAATGGGTAAGCACCATTTCCCTGACAAAATCTAACCATACACTCTAACTGGGAGAGTGACAAAGGTAGCTTTCAATTTTGCGTGCCCTGTTTTTTTAACTTGCTGAGATAAGTTTTAGTATATTGTAGTAGGACTGATATCATTTTTATTATGACGTTTTAACTTATGGTAGGTTCGTAAGTAGATCAACGACGAACCCGTTCTTCAAACATTATGGTATTTTCGAAAGAAAAAATGTAGGCGATGCATTCATAAAAATACCCCCCCCCCCTTTCCCCCTCCCTTTCCCTAACCACACATTATGTACACACCCGCAAAAATAACAAAGTGAAACCAGACAAAAGCTAAACAAAACAATATCATAAGCGAGAGCAAATAGTTCCCATATTGCCCTTTATCTGAGGAGAAGAAAACATTAGCAGCCTTTTGCGACAAATCAGTAGCAATAATTGTAGGGTATATTAAACAGTCTGCGAGTAAAACAGACAAATACCTATTAAAAGCCTCCAATATTATATTTATTTAATTTTTTTTATGTGGAACGTGGCAGTTTCGGCCGCACACCTCTGTACAACGACAACAACAACAACAACAACAACAACAACAACAACAACAACAACATCAACATCAACATTGAAAGCGACAGCTCTTTCATTTCAGCCCAAAGATGATCAATAACGAAAACAAACAATTATAACTGCCTTTCGTTGTGCATGTATATTGTTAATTTGTTTAGTGGTGTCGGTGGCCTAGTGGTTAGGCTCGTAATCGTGAGGTGCGGGGTCGGGGGTTCGAGCCGCGGGCCCGACGTTATGTGTCCTTGGGAAAGACACATTTCCACGAATTTTCCTCACTTCACCCTGGTGGAAATGGGTACCCGGCCATAGACAGCGAAAGATCTTGTCTGTATGTTAGTGTTTTAGCGCCTATAAATGGCTACTTGCACTGTATGCTTCCCATGAAGTTGAGTTAGTGTCAGAATGCTCTTAGTCTGCTGGGGTAATAGTATAGATTGGGAAGCGCATAGAGCTTGCTGTTGAGCGGGGATTTGCGCTATACAAAATAAATGCTATATTGTTTGTCAGGATTTTTTTTTTCGTTTTAAAACACATTTTGTTTGTTATTTTTGCTTTTTTGTCAGTTAGTCAGTTTGTTTTGACACGGTTGTCGTTTTTTAACCCCCCCAGGGGGGGGGGGGGGGTTCAAGTGAACACAAAACTCACTCCGAAGTCAAGCAACAAGCACGTTGATAGATCTTCAGTGAAACTGACTACTGAACAAAAATTGAGAGTTACGGCGCAGTGGATATTATATAATACAATTCTCGTAAATCGGATGAATTATAATTATTGATCTATTTCTGACAAGTCTTGTTGTAAAGATACCCTCTTGATCTAGGACACGTTGTCCCTATCTATTTCTATTTGAGGTTTGCTTTTGATTAAGTATTGAACAGATCCCGTGTGTTCCTTGCTCCTGTCAGGTTGAAAAAAATGTCTTTATCGTTGTGCTGTGCCTAAAGAGGGTGATAAAGTGCTAGATTTCCTGGAATAGGCCCCAGTTTCGTTTCATGGAAAGAAATATTTAGATATTACCGCATGATGGGTTTCGATATCTTGCCGTGTTTTGACATAATGTTTCTTTTTTTCTCTCTCGTTGTCATTGTTTACTTTTTGTTTTTAATTTTTTTTTTTATCCTTGTGTGTGTGCATATGTGTGTGTGTGTGTGTGTGTGTGTGTGTGTGTGTGTGTGTGTGTGTGTGTGTGTGTGTGTGTGTGTGATAGTAGACACCCTCGGAGCGGGGTCGCCCAGTAATCTGCCGTAGTGACTGTTTTGACAAAACGCGATCCACTAAATGGTGTTGTGACAGGGTTTTTTATTTAAGTGTCATGACGCGGTGGAATCAGGCGCTCGTCAATTTTTGGGCATGTGGAGTTATTCGTATCATTTTATAACTTATTTGCCTATAATTCAATGGAAAAAAACACCCTTCTCTCTCGGACAGAAATTGAGATATTATATGTGCGATTGAATGAGGAGGGGTAGCATGGCTTCAGAGGTAAACTTAGCGAGAAAATGGCTGCCAAAGTTTGGCGATTTCCGTAGCTTTAAAAGACTCCTTGGATACTGAACATTTACATTTTTGTGCCTGTAAGCCACTTTCCATCAAATTTCACGCAAAAAACAAAAATGTGATAAAAATTGCCAAACCAGCGGGAACATGTCGATATTTTCGATTTCATTATTTTGATGAGCGCCTGATTCCACCGCGATGCCTTCTCTAAATCAATACAGGCGTGCTAGTTTTTTGAAGCAGTTTTGATATTGGAAGCAATGATTTGTTACGTTAAATAAAGTTGTTTTCTTTTTTCCTTTGTGACATTTAAATGTATAGGGTGGGTGTGTGTTGGGGGGGGGGGAGTGGGGGGTAGCATTGTATTACTCCTGTTCCATTTTCTCAGTACTGAGTTAATAAATACTATGAAAATTAGAAAACTAGAGGTTCTGTTTCAGAAGAAAAGAATTACTTTCGTTTTCACTTTCAATCATGGTGTC